TTTTCAAACCTGCTGTTACGAAACAACTCATTTAACTGTTATTAATCACCCAGGTCTCTACTTTTCAGGAGAGCTCCTTTAGCAATTCACAGATCTGTAGAAGGTTAAGGTAGGACAGAGCCGGTATGATTATCCTTGTTGAGGTTGAGTGGTGATGGCGTTACAACTCCAGTGAATTAAGGTTGTGGGTTTCAAAGACTTACTCTTGTATGTCAGACCATAGTGCAACAAGTCGTAAGGTGGGGAGGAACGGAAGATTTCACTCCAAACACGTAGGGGGGTTGTCAACTCATAATAAGTTTACATGTAAATGTGGAAATATGAGTCCACGAAAGGTAATATATATTTAAAAATATGGAGGGCAAGACAAACAACCAACCCGTATACTAGTCTTCATAATACCAAACAACATGTTCTCAAAAAGGAAATACCCTGGATACCATAGAGTAGCACAATACTGTAATCAGAACATTTTTAAGTACGATACTCCGAAGCTAATTATGCATCATAACTTTGTGTTCGTATAAACAGTATATTCGATCAGAGCTAAAGATTGATGATCATAAGTCTGCAAGGCTGAATACCAGAAAATACAGAAGTATCTCATCTGGGATATACCTAGTTTTTACAGTCAATACATCATCTAGATATTCCTCAACTGTTATACTCATAAATACTTTTTGTTATGAAATGAGTAATATACATCATCAAACGTGTGTTCATGTGACCTATAAATTTAAACCATAAAATAGTAATACAATACTTTACATAGTACTATTGTAAAAACATTACACTCTGTTCATAGTAATAACGCATTAATAATAAACTTTTTATAAATATATCTATTAAAACACAATAGCTTGTAAATAGTTTAGCAAATGCATTTGTTTCTGATTGTTATATGGTTAATAAAGCTGAAAAACGATATGACTAGGTTATGAGAATTAAGGAAAACAGAATATAATGTGAATTTTAACTATTTCGTCCATTCCATAAATTTACAAAAGAAGGAAATAAGGCAAATTAAATAAAATACCTCAACGACTAGACAGATGTTTTTGTCAGAAACCATTACTCGGATTAATCATCAAAAATTCTATAGATCCAGTTGACCAAGAACATATCATACAGTTATTGAGCACTTAGAACAGGGACCAATTAGGCTCCGAATTACAAGTTTCTGAAGTTGAATAAAATAATCCTTGCCAGGAAGTAGAGGTGTTAAATACTAAAGATATTTAGTAGTTTGATAAGTGATAATTTTAGATATTAAGCAGGAATCTATGGATTTATATTTTTTCCTAGTTGAGACTCATCAGCATGATGTGTCTGCAATCTTGAGGAAAGTGATGCTATTGATGTCTCGAAGTGTCATAATTGAAGACATTACAACAAAGCTATTCAAGCAATATATGTATTATATTACACTCTGAATAGTTTTGTGATTTTATGATTCAATTTGAAACGGATCGTATCGTCCATTTGTTGAAATTTTGACTGAGAGTTGGTCAGTCTTGGTTGATATATGTGAATCCTGTGCAGATTGCCTTGATAAAGTCATTACAAAATAGGCTGATATATAATAGGTGAAACGTGACTAGCAGTAAGATCACGTACGTGTGTTTCACCCTGTATGGGACTCGTCAGCTGAATGTACTTATATCACGGAGTTAATGTTCACTCTAGGACTCAAACTCCAAATTTAAAACTCATACTCATTGCACAAGTGAATGACTGACTGGACTCAATAACTTAGTCGATAATGTGACGTCGTTTGAAATGAACGGCTTCTAGTCCTAGTCACGGGGTGAACATCAATCCTAGGATGTAAATATATCCAACTGAAGAGTCCCAAATAAGATGAAAATTAAGTCTGGAATTCCATTGCGAGCTACATTCCATCTATTCTATACTAATCTGTAATTTTTTTTGTAGTATACTGACTCTTGTTTATTGTGGAAAATACATTCAAACAAAATTTGTTAAAGGTAGAAGGATAAAAACCAAGATCTAGTGATTTGATTAACTATTTAAAAGTAAGTTATTAATGAGAATCATTATGTTTATAAATAATATTTTAGTAAAACGTTTGAGTATTTATTATTAAAAAAAACCCTCAGTCTATAAGTATCATTACCAAGGTTTGATTTGATAATTTCGAATAAATTGAGCATTGGGTAGATTGTTATAAATAAATTAATATATTTGTAATGTACCAGTGAGTAGAAAAATTAGATTTTCTGACGTTTCGTGACTTAGCGTAAGCCACTTCTTCAGAGAATAAATAACCAAATTAAAATTAATCCATGTTTAAATAGTACAACGGAACAATAAGAATATTATGTGATCAATCAAAAAGACAGGTCTGAATAAATAAATCAATGTCATGTCATATCGGTCAAGGTGGTTCGTAAGCGACATGTTTGTAAAATTTGTGTGTATGTTTTGATGGAGTTTTGTTCTCCGAGCTGGATGGTTTGTGTGTATGTATGTGTGCACTATTTGTGTGACCTTTATGGTGAGAAAGGACAGAGTTTAATTTGTAAGATAATGGTGTGAATTGTAAATAATATCAGGCTAGGATAGATAGTCCAAGTAGGATGTATAGCAAGGCCTTCTTTTCTATTGAGCGAAGTAGGATTAAGCATTATATGGAACGCTTCAGCTGCTCTCCTTTTTTGTAATTGGAAAGACCTTTTTGTGATATTTTGGAAATCGATTTGGTGGTCTTTGAAAATGATGTGAACTGCTATTGTCGATTTACTTTGAAATCTATCGAGTTCTACGGGATTATTAGGAGGTTTCTTTGTGTAGCTAATATGTTCTTTGGCACGAGTCAAGATTTCGCGAGATGACTCTCCAGTATAGAAGGCAACACAATCGACACAACCTAATTTGTAGACGCAGTTCCTTGTTGACATAAATGAGATTTTTCTTTTAAGCGGACTAAAGTATTTCGAAGTGTATTCACTGTTTTGTAATATACTTTAATTCTGTGTTGTTTTAAGATTCTTTGGAGTTCTTCTGTCGTGCCATGACGGTATGGTAAAACTGCAGTACCAATCCATGGCGATTCATTCGAATTATTATTATGTGGCACTGAACCGTCTTGTTTTAATATTCTTATAATAATCTTCATATGGAAATGATTACCTTGTAAAATGTTAATTACATTCTTTTGTTCTTTTTGTTTATCCTCTTCTGATGTGATGATCTTGTTAGCTCTTCTAAAAAGATTTAAGGCTAACGGGATCTTGGCACTGAAGAAGTGGCTCACACTAAGTCACGAAACGTCAGAAAATCTAATTTTTTCTACTCATGGCACATTACAAATATCAATAGGTAAAATCAGGAGCCAATTAAAGCCAGACTACCATGGAAAAACTGGAAGCACTGGATGGCTGTTTCGTCCTAGTATGGAACTCCTCAGCAGTGCGCATCCACGATTAAAACCCAGTCTATGTTTATGACATATGAAATGAAAACTAATAAACTGAATTATGTTCCGATTGTTTGGGAAGGGCAAATTATTTTCATTTTATAATATTATCAATGAAAATCAACCATCAGGTTCTTAGGATAAAGTAACGCCCAGAAGCTCTTGAACTAATGATATATATATATATATATATATATATATATATATATATATATATATATATATATATACTCAAACCTTTTCACATGATATGATACCATTGGATAAGTCACAACTATTAGCAACAAGCAAATAAATAATACGTGCATATTTTCTGCAAAAAAAGGGAAATTTATAATCGAGTTATATAAACCTTATTTTTGTTTTCCAAAAAAAAAAAATATTTTCATGCTATCTGAATAGAATAGTTATTATCATTAAAATAATTGGAAGGCGATCCCTTCAACTGTTTATATATATATATATATATATATATATATATTTCAATGAATTAATCGATCTTTTGTATTAATAATAGTTAAATTCTATAAGAAATATTTATAATTAATTGAATTGGTTATTTATTTTCATGGATTAATCACAGAAATAATATTTATTTTATTTATTAATGAAAAGAAACATATGTAGTAAGTGTTGTGATAATTGCTTGTTTAATTACTGAGTTTTATGGAGAAATGATACATATTATTATTTTTATATTGTTTATTATTATAATTAAATAGAGATTTTTTGGATCTCATAGTAATTGTAATAGTTGAATTCATGAGTTAATTAAAGCTGAACGGCTGTTTCGTGTTCAATATTGCACATCCACGATCCTACCTTGTGAGATTCGAATCCAGGACCTAACGATCTCGCCCGTGAACACTTAACCTCTATACCATTGAGCCAGCCGGCATCCAACGGTGTTAATGTCTAACTTTAACTAATCCACGAAATTACCTCACTGTCCACCATTGTTATCGATGAGTTACTATCTTACAATAGACCCGGTTGAACTCCACTAGTCACTGCTTCTCACTGGAACTCCAGGAAATACCTCTTGGAGACCGTCGCTAGTGAGCATATGTGGTTATAATGAGAGAGGGATTTTGTGGATATTGTGGTAATTTAATAGTTGAGTTTATGAGTCAGTTGAAGCTAGATCACCATGAAAAACCTAAAAGCACTGGATGGCCGTCTCGTCCTAGTATGAAACTCCTCAACAGTCCGCATCCAAGATTTCGACAAACGGGATTCGAACTCAGGACCTATCATTATTAATCAATTCAATTATTTATCTATCTAGAACAAAGAAAAACTTTTCCGAAGAAATTTCCCACTTTTTTAAAAGTAGATTTATATAGTTTAGTCTAAAATACTGGTAGTAAAAATAATGTTTTAATAATCTAATTACATAGTCTTTTTATTTATTAAATTCTTGCTAGTATATAATCAATACTTAATAAAACAAACTGAATTTCACAATAGATTTCAATAATAGTTCATAGAGAGTAAAATCTAACTATAATGATCATCAATAAAAATGCAAGTTTCTTTATGACTGTGACATTATTTATTTCTCACAAATAGAACAAAAGATATTTCATTGTCGTGAGTTCACTTATTATTTATGTAAATATTTTTAAACTCATTTTGTTTATTTTAATGATGTAAGTAGATGATGAGGATCTAGACTAGATAAGAATATAAAATAATAATATATCGAATAGATTAGAATACGAGAAAGTAAGCGTATTATTAACTAACATTAATACACACGTATGTTGGAGATCATTTTAGTCACAATATAAAATTAGCATGATGAAACTTAACTGTCAGGAGGTATTGAAAAGTAAATTACTTTTTTTTTTCGTTGTGATTTGGAGGGAATCATACGGATCACTATATTTGAAGAGCTTCTTTTCAATCTCTTATATGAAGGTGCTAATAAATATTGCTGAAAAATTACAAACTACATCAAAACGCTTCAGTATTTCTTAGTTTTAAGTGATTCATCGTCAGAGTCAGTTTTTGAAAAAAAGTTTACTTATATGTAGTTAGGAAATTTAAACAAAATCACTTCACTTCATTATGTACTTATTATCAATATATGACACGTGAATTGAACACTTTTATATCAAAACATAGCTAAGATTAATATTATTTGTCTAATGTAAATCAAATCCCAAATTCCTTCATTACTAAATCAAATATTTTTCATTCTGAATATATTTCTTTGTTGAGAAAAAATGTTCTCTTAGTTTCTGTATTCGTTTCATTTGTAAAAGAAACTTTAGTCCATAAGATAAAACTTTGTTGCTTCAATCATACTGTTTCATACAATTTAGTGTTTCATGATAGAATATTTAACGAAACACTGTTTTCTTCATGACAAATCTCGTTTCTAAAGCAAACATTTATTTTTTATCAGAAAGGGGGGTTTGTGAAGATTGTAGTAACTTAATAGTTAAACTCATGAGTTGAGTAAAGCTAGACTACCATGAAAAATTTGGAAGCACTGGATAGCCGTTTCGTCCTCTTATGCGACTCTTCAGCAGTGCGTATCCATAATCCCGCTCGGGGATTCGAACCTATGACATTCGGTCTCGTGATGATACATTTCGTGTCATAAGCTATATGGAAATTCTTGTTAACATTTTTACATATATCAAACATATTACATTTGCTTCTATTAAAAACCAATCTTGAATATAGTAAGATATTTCTATCACATGTAAGATTGGTTTACGCTAAATTTGTCTTATATGAAAAGACTATTAAACTAAACATGAACATATGAAGAATATTATATCATAATAAATTCACTTAGTGTTGTTTGCTTGTATCTCCCCATTGTTGTTTAAAATTGCAACTGATGAGGTACATCCAGCTAACGAGTCCCGAATAGAACAAAACGCGAGTCCTGGATTCCACCGCTAACCACTATCCATCTTTTTTATATATTACTTACTTACGCCTGTTACTCCTAATGGAGCATAGGCCGCCAACCACCATTCTCCAACCCACTCTGTCCTGGGCCTTCTTTTCTAGTTCCATCCAATTCTTCTTCATTTTTCTCATGTCTATTTCCATTTCCCGGCGTAATGTGTTCTTTGGTCTTCCTCTTCTCCTTTGGCCTTGAGGATTCCATGTGAGGGCTTGTCTTGTGATGCAGTTGGGTGCTTTCCTCAATGTGTGTCCTATCTACTCCCAGCTCTTCTTCCTGATTTCTCCCTCGTCCTGGAGTCCCTCCGGGGGCTTCTGCCGGTCCTAAGCCCGGATAAAGGAGGAGGGTTGGGCATGAGGTTAGCGACCCCATCCCGTAGAAAACTAACTCGCTAAAATAACGCTAACCAGAAAAAAAATATTCAAACCTTTTTTATATATCATAATAATTAAATATAAATTTTGTACTATCACTAATAACCCACAATTAAAATAATCCTGTTTTTGGGACAATATAAGATCGTGTCAATTATAACTTTAGTCGTTAAGATCCATAAATTTTTTTGTTACAACTATACACTGATAACTGGAGAAAAACACATATTTGCTTCTTTTTCGTTGTTTGTACCATTTTAGAAATGCATTTTTCAGGGAAAACACGGTATATAATGCAGAAGGTCAGAAACTAGTAGAGAGATGATTTATATTCAGACTTAACAGTGAATATCTTGAAAACTCGAATTTCTATTCAGATTTGCTATCAGCTATGTTATGGGGATTAGAGTAAATGACTACAGTATTTTTTACTTACATGTTAAAAATTTAGTCATTCAATAATGGTTAAGTAGTATCACAGCATATTAGATAAATACCAGTTAAAATGTCGGTAGACAATCCAGACAAAAACCAGATTACTCTTTGTAGCTAAAAGAACGTGTATTAAAATTTATCATTTGACAGTGATTATCATTATGAATCAATGGTGAGCTAGAACAATAAATATAGTTGTGAGCATCATTTTGTGTAGTTGAGAAGAAATTAGTGGTATTGTATGCAATAGTGGTAATTACATTTTATGAAACAAATCATGCAAAATCGTAATATTTTGAATCTATTAGAAAATTGGATCCAAATCGATTGGAACGGAATCATATGTATGAAGTGTTTTAATGATTTCATTCGAATTTCTTAACATAATAAACGTTATTATAGCCTTGATATGTATATATAATTAACTCATAGTATTTAGTAACGGTTAAGTTTAATACATAGAATTATCATTTAGTTTTTCTTCATTTGTTCTGCACATGAACTAATTAACATTACAATCAGTAATGAAGAAAGAATTAAGCAAAACTCTTTAAACAATGGGTGCTGCATCAAGTGTTCACGGAGGTGGTCGTAAAAAGAAACAAAATGTTATGGAGACACGCGAATTAAAAACTTCAGGTAATACTATCTCTGACTTTATCAATGGTAATGCTTCTTGATTTTATACGAAATTTATTAAAATATTTTTTTTCTGTAATGAGTGCTGAGTATGGAGAAGTTAAAAGTGAAATTAATGGTGTAAATATGTCACTAAGTTAAAAAAAAGCTCCAACTGTTTTACGTTCAATAATAGTAGTCTTGATAGTTTTTCCGGAAAAATTCAAACCAGTTTATCAAGCTGAAAGTTGGAACTTTCAAATTTCAAACTCTAAGATTTCCTTAGACATAATTCCATTTTTAGTTCATAGATGGATTTCGAAATATATTCCTAGGGATTTCTAAGTCGATGTATATGATGTGATAAACTCAGTTATATAATGTGTAATTTTTAATCTACAGAAAGTCCAAATAAACTGTCTCCAACATATGATACATGATATTCTTGTCTTATAAAATCTAACCATTACAATCTAGTTTAAGTCGCTACTTTTAGTTTCATCAAACTAATAGATTGATGACTTGGAGATGAAACTGTTAATATGTTTGAACGTATTTCTATGGTTAACAAGTGTTATATATAGAGAGGGATAACAAAATAGTAGACAGAATAAAAATGAATGATTTGAAACACAGGTTCCAATTCATCAATTAAGGGGAATTAGAGCCAAGGAAGGATGAGAGGTTGGTGATAGGATCCGTCACTAATTGACTTTGGTTAATGATACAGATTAACTGAAGATGATCATTGCATACCAAAATCATAATCTAGTTTGAGAGTATTCACAACCCATATGACTTTATTCTCTCTCTTTCTCCATAAATTGAGTTTTGTAGTAACTGAATACATATTATTCTTTTATTTTATTCTTCCTCAAACTACGTCCCCTGAATAACTTTTATTTAGTTATTTGTTTTTCTAAATAGCTTGAATATGGAATGTAGCAACTTATATCAAATCTTATTGTGTTTGTTATTGAACAATAGTTCAAAGTTATTAAGTCTTTTTCCCTATAGCAATTTACAGATATTTGTGTAGTTTGATAATTATAGCTTTTATTTTCAAATGACACTAACTTATTGAGAACTATAGGGTGTTGAATAGTTGTTTGAAACTCTTCACTAATGATAACACACTTATTCTGTCAAATCTTATACCTCTTTATTACTTAGTAATGCTTATCAGAGTTTATTCTGCTCATATAGTCAAGACCTATTGTTTCACGTTTTAAAATATTACTGATTTATACATGCTATCATGGACCACTCAGAGATAAAACACTACATAATTTTTCATCAGTTTTATAGAATGTATGGGTTAGAGACAAAAATACAAAAAACCAACAATAAAAATCGCTGCAATATATACGTGAATACAAGTTGTGATGGTTTGAATTAACCGGCTATTAATATTCTTTAATGAATTTTAACATAAGTGAATCCAGTACGAATTTATGCACTGCTGAGGCATTAGCAATCCACGAACTCAAGCCCGAACGTTTCGTGCAGAAACGATTCATCCAATCTCTTATCCTTCATTGATGAATTAGTACCTGCGTTTCAGAATCATTCATTTTCATTCTATTTTAAATGGGCAAAAAATAGTAAACCTAATTCAAGATGGTTAAGCATATCAAATAAAGATCTACCAAGACTATACATAGTTCAATAAAAGTGATTATTGTCGATAAATTTCACAGTATTTTTTTTCAAGCGGATTCAAATAGTTACAGAATAATACAAGATTTCATACTGGTTAATCAATAAAACAGATACTTTATACAGAATGAAATGATGATATTATGAAGAAATCTGAGGCAGGATGGATGAATACGATGGATTTCATAGAAAAAGGCTTATGTGAAGGTATAGCACTCATAATAATTGAAACAATAATAGATTTATTAAGTTCCTGTGAGTTACCAACTGAACTTCTGACATTTTGCAATAAAGTCGAAGTTGTTTCTTTTGTCAATAAGTAAATATTAATAATAAAATTCTTGTTGCTCATGAAGAATACAACAGAAGATAGTAACAAAATTACCATTGGTTTTTATACATGGATGTATTCGGGAAGTTATCTAGCCACTAATTAGTGATGACACAACTATTCATTATCCTATAACATATCACAAAGTCATTCCTTCACAACTTCTCCTGTTTAATTTCTAAGTGGATAATCAATCGTTCATACGAAACTCAAGGCTTCATTTCTCTCTAAATTGCGTATAATAATTTCGTTTCAAAATAACAGTATATATATATATATATAAAGTTCATATTTAATGTTTATTATGTTCATAAATAGGGCACCTAACCTGTCGTATATCTTGATGGTGTTCTCGTGACTTTTGTGTTACCTGATCTGCCAATAGCGATAGGACAGTGCATGACGGTATTGTTGTGTGCTAGATTGATGCAAATCCACCCCCGTTTATGTTCATAAATATCAAACTTTGTTCTACTTTACTTTTGTCTTGTGTTTTCAGCTGAGAATATAGATAAAGAATATGAAAATCGTTTGGAAGCTGAACATGGTAAAGGTACATTCTTATTAATAATAATTTAACATTCTTTTGAAATTTGATATTATAACGTAACTGTATATGTAGATTCTTCTTTAAAATTGCGTATTATATAATATTCTCCAAATGTTTTAATCAACTGTCATGTAACTAATACTATATCCCATATTATTAACTAAATAAATACGAAATAAAAGTGTGAATTCAAAGGAAAAAACAATAAAATATGGTGCATTAACCGGTCAAGCTACTTCCTTAGCATACATATATACTCACTTGGTATTGTTTGGCTTGTATCTTCCCATTGAGGTTTAAGACTGCAATTGATCAGTCTGTTATTGCCATATGTGCATATTGTGTGTATGCCTCGATATTGCTTTAATTCACAAGCTTTTTGTACGCAATCATGGATAGTGGTACATCCAGCTGACCAGTCCCAAATAGACGAAACGCACGTCCTGGATTCCGCTGCTAGCCACTATCCATTATTGCTTACAAAAATACATGTGTACTGTTGTAAAAGCAAATTTAAAGAGATAATCATAAGTCGTTTGAAAAACATCATGCATAGAAAGAGATCAGATAAGCTTTATTAGTTATAATGTGATAACTGATATTAATGTAACATGATTTATGAATATGGATGTGTTTAGTATTTGCAAGTGTTTTTTTTGAATTTTGATTTCCACTGTATATTTCAATATATTTTCATCATAATCTTTTTTTAGCAACTAATAAAGCTGGAGGAACAGATCACTGTATAAGAGCAGATAATAAAGCTGCTATTGTTGTTCATGGATGTACAGAAGAATATCAAACTCTAGCTGATGAATTGCCTGAAATCATTATGAAAAAAATCGGACCTAATATGATAGCTCATCCTATGATATTAGTAAGCAATTTAAAAATGCATCAATAAATGGTTTTACAATTTAGTTTAAAAATTCATATTCTTATAAATAATAAATATCATAGATTGGTTGAAGCTAAACATTAACACTGTTGGGTGTCGGCTCAGTGGTCTAGAAGTTAAGCCTTAGAGCGTGAGACCGACAGGTTCTGGATTCGAATCGTGCGAGCCGGGTCGTGGATGAGCACTGCTAAGGAGTTCCATACTAGAACAAAACGATCTTTCAGTGCTTCCAGATTTTCCATAGTGGTCTATCTTTAATTGACTCATCAATTCAACCACTAAATTACTGAAATTTCCACAAAACCCCCTTCTGATAATAAATATTTGTACAAGACAGAAAATACTGAATAAGTGACGTGAATATTTGATAAACGAACTATGAGAGTATTAGTTACTTATGAATGTTTATTAAATAGGTTGTAAAAAAAATAATGAAAGTGATAATTAATGAGCATAATTCAAATGTACATGACATGTGAAATCTTTGTGATGTTAAACAGATCAGGCTGAACAACATAAACATATAACCAAACTTATATTAATGTATATAACTGCTATCAATACAGTTTTTAATACGTTGCATAGAAATTGTCAAGAATGAATTCTTAATTTTATCGAAGACTTGACTGTTCGCAAATTCAACCCCCCCCCGTTATGTATATAGAAATAACTTGTTATAACTTTGAATCTATCCTGGCAATCTTTAAGCCATTTTATGGCTATTGGTAATGAGACCATTTTCTATTCTTCCCATAATATGTTAATTTTCTATCTTTTATTAACAATGATCATTTTGCTTACTTGAATTTTGTTTAATTGACCTTCAGAAGTTTTCAAATAAAATGCTTCACAACTATATGTGTGATCAGATTGTTTGAAATGTCTAAAGCAAATACATTTTAATTTTCAGGTCAACTCCATCATCTTATTGTTCTGTCATGACGCATAGATGTTTGATGTAGAAGCTTTGATACAGGATACGATTATCATATAATGTGATATCTAACAATGAATCAGTGAAAGAAATGATAAGAATGAAAACTTCAATAATCTATGAATAGAAATGTCATCCAAGATCTGATAGTTCAAGGGCATTTAACAAGAATGCCAAATTAGCTGAGTTATAGACGGATCATATTTTTTTTGGTTAGCGTTTTTTTAGCGAGTTAGTTTTCTACGGGATAGGGTCGCCAACCCCATGCCCAACCCTCCTCCTTTATCCGGGCTTGGGACCGGCAGAAGCCCCAGGAAGGACTCCAAGTGGACGGACGGATTATATTGACAAGCATTAGTTAAGACTGAACATGAAATCTGGTTTTTCTTGTTAATTGTTATCAAATGTGACAAAGGAGTTGGTTTTCCAAAGATTTAATTAACTTTGCCAGTCAGAATATCAAACCATGAAATTAATGACTGAGTTGAATGATTGGCAAAAAAGAGAAAAATTAATCAAAAATTCTGAGTCAGGATTTACAGCTTTGATGAATAATTTTGATGATATGATCTACTTTGAGCTTGATGACCAAATTAGAGGGCTGTCATTGTCGTTCTGGAAAACACTCATACATGAGTTTGTAGGTAATAATATCAAGGTCGGACTTGTCAGTTTCGAATAACTTGAGCATTGGTAGAAAGTTAAAATGAATATATTTATTAAATAAAAAAGATTAGTTCAGCGAAGAGTTCTCTTTTCAGCAACTTCATTTTCAAAGCTGTACAATCACAAATATATATACTTATTTTACAGGATGATAATAATACTGATGATAAACTTCTGTTAGACATGGTGACAGTGAGGTAAAATAAACAAAGGTATTAAAAAAAATTTTAAAACAAGGAAAGTTTACCAATCGTTTGATTTGTTAATGGCTTAAGTATTCATCAAAGATAAATGGGGAAATTATTATTGAGAAAGGATGGCTCAGCATGATTAGATAAAATGTTGAAATTGAGATTAAATGTAATCAGAACGATCGTGGAAACAAAAATAAACCAGTTGAGGGTAGAGGATTTAAGGGGAAGATGGAAGGTAAAGCAGATGGTTGCAAAGGAAGAAGAGTATGAAAAAGAGAAAGAAAATTATAAGACATTAAGACTATGGTAGAGATAGAGGTTGTACCACTTTCTTTTGCACACACAATTCTAGTTTTTCCAGATGTATGGCTAATGCTTCGGTAATGCAAAGAAGATGCAATCTAATTGTCTTTGGTGGACTTCTACTTACCTTGTAGACGACTTTGAACGCAGAGTCTGTTTTGATTGAGTGACCTGTGTTCACAAGGTGTTCAATTATTGGACTTCTTATTGAGCCGTTGTCTCCTCTTTTTAGTCACGCCGGACAATGTTCTTGAATTCTTTTGGACAAAGTATATTTCTTTTTACATCCCACTGAATAGTAAAATATATTCATTATTAATTTCTACATTAAGTATATACTGATAATGTTGAGCAATACGATAATCAAAGCTCTGCAAGTGAACCATCTGGTTCTGAAAAAGTAATATTATCAGAACTTGACATTATCACTAAACCAAACGGATTACCAAGAGCTTAACTATCTATTCTAAGCCATACAGAAAAAATAAAGGCAAACCAAATATACTGAAAGATAATGATGATAATTATGCATAAACTGATAACATCAGTAGAACCGTTTGGCATTAATGAGTACTAGACTTTTTTCTCACGTTTAAAGTTAATCATAGAATGGTCGTGTGTTGTTTATTATTTATGCATTTGTTTTTCAGACAAAATTGTTTACGTTTCATAAGATTAGCCATATAATTGATATGAATTACAGACTCATTCATGTAATGAAATCAAAAATATACTTTAAACAGTTAATATATAATCTAGAAAATGTCATAAAATAAATATAAACTACATAATTGTAGTAGTAAACAAAACAATTAGTGAACTCATTGAGTAATTAAAGTGTATATTACCATCTAATTGCGTATTTCACGAATAGTCCGCTTAAAATGAGGTAGATTTACTTTGATAACTGAAATATTCATTCACTTTTATTGCATTTTAGGCAATGTGTCGTTTAACTGAACACATTATCGATACATAAAACATTGATAATCTTGAATCTTTGTTCATTGATAAGACATATGAATACTAGTCAACACTGTTATTTAAATAAGACCAATTTTAATATTAGGTAACTTGTGATCATATATTTATAGGCATTATTCTGACATTAGAGTGATTCAAGACAATTAACGAGCAGTAGTAGGTTACAGATTTGGCAGCTCAGCTGAAACATGTATCACATTGAAGCTAGGTGATGCGACAAGAAGTATCACAGAAACATTAGTTCCCTCAACATTATAGATTTGTCTTGCTAAAAAGTGCTAATTATTATGAAATCTATGTCAATCATGACTTCATATCGATTGCCACCAACTAACTAAAATCTATAAATAATTCATGCTATGTTGAGTTATTTTGACAGGTGATTATACTGTTACTACACTAAACTACAAGACGAATAATAAAATAGTTACTACACCTTGATCAGTCATTCTGAATAGGTATCATTGTAATAATTAACTTTTAAAGAGTAAATAACACTAAAATTTTGTCAGTCAAGAATGATTCGAAAAGTATTGATATAGTTCATATTCACATATTTACATGATACAATAAAAAATTTTCTTAAGAAAGTGGGTTATAAAAGTGTAAACTACCTGTTCTCATAGTTATTAAAAAAGACATTTTCGTCAACAATGAGTCGAATACTTGTTAAATAAGTTATGATCTTAGGCAGCACATTGAAAGTCATTGTACTAATTCTTAGCATAATGTACTGAATTGAAAAAGAAAATTTAATTTGTAATAAAACGATTTCAAATAATAGTCTTTAGAAACATGGATATTAAGTTTACATCACATTATTATTTTAAATGAAGTATACCGTTGACACAGGGCTAACGTTACAAGTAGTTCTATATAATTTAATAGCTTAGCATATGCCTGTCACTCCTTATGAATCATAGACCGACGAACAGGTCTCACCGATCTATTCCGTCCTCAGCTCACCTTCCCACTTGCTACCAAGTTTTAGTCATTCTTTTGATATCTGTATTCCTTATTCTGTCTCATTTTCTTCTTCCTCGAGGATTTCAAGTTGAGGCTTGCTTTGTGATAAAGTTCGGTGATTACCGCGATTTGTGCCTTGTTCACCACCCAGAGTCTTCTTCTAATTTCCTGTTGAGTTGTAAGCTGGTTTGTTCCCTGTCTCAGTAGGTTGTTGCTGATGATATCTGGCCAACCGATCTGAAGTTTCTTGCTTACACAACTATTTATAAATACATGTAGCCACATAAAGTAGTATATATATATATATATATATAATATATATATATATATATATATATATATATATATATATATATATATATATATATATATATATATATATATATATATATATATATATATATATATATATATATATATATACTGAATGCTGTATTGTTAAGATTCTAATGAAACTTAAAATAAAAACGAGTCTACTATTCACAGACATTTTTCTAATAATTATTCTTAACTTGGTTTAGTGTCGCTATAAAATAAAATTTAAACTGGCTATTATCCACATTATTAGAAAGTATATTCTGATTGATACACTACATAAATATTGTAGTGAACGATTAGCAATACATACTACTTATATCTATCGATAACAGTAGCACATACCACAATATTATACTATTCTAATAAATCATTTACTAATTTAAGCTTTAATACTCTGTAAGCATAATGCATAAAATTAATACATTATTACTGTTATGATTGATTGATTTTTATTTACAAAAATATTTATTTAAAATAAACAGGGTAAATATTGTCTTGTCAGAGATAGTGAAGATGATGGTGATCATTTATTACGAGTACCAATTGATAAACACAAACAAGTTACAATACAAAAATCTAAATTACAGTTACCTCTTTATGGTTTATCTCAACCAACATTTCAACAAATTAAAAAACAAATTAACGATTTACAACATAATGTAAGTGAATAAATTTATATAAAATCTGTATACATATTTATTTATTACTGACAGTATATATATATATATATATATATATATATATATATATATATATATACTACTTTGTATAGCTACAGGTATTTATAAGTAGTTGTATATATATGCGAAAGAGTGGAAATAGAATCGTCTGATTACTGTTTAATGAATCTGTTTGTATATGTTTAGCCATTATTAAACATGATCATATTTTATGTAATTATGATTTTATACTGGGTTTTTTTCTTTTGGATTCGTTAATTATTGTTATATCATACACTGCTGATAAGTAATAGTTAATTAATTACAAAATGAAATGATTACATTTTGTAACTAAGAAGTTCTTTATTATGTACTGTTTGAACGTTAGATGTTGGTTGTAGGTAGTCGACAGGAAACCCTGGACCCGGGTTTGGCAAGGTGTACCTGTAATCTTGAGGGAACTGGTGCTCCCTGACGGATTCGATCTCGTGTGTCAACATCAATCAATTGTGATTACATCTCAGCCCTAAAGAAGGTCAGTCGCTGCCCGGATAGCTCAGTGGTAACGTCTCTAACTGTGAAGCTGGGTCACACGCAGTCGAATCCTCCAGGGAGCACCAGTTCCCTCAAGATTACAAGTACACCTTGCTGACGAGTGCCAAGTAGCACGAAACCCGGGTCCAGGGTTTCCTGTCGACTACCTTCAACCAACATCTAATCTCAATATATGGTGCACGCAGTGTCGAGTCACCTAGACTGATAGCCACATTGCAACATGGTCGGTAGCATTCGATCTACACTAAATAAGGACTTGACACGCATGACATTGATCACCACCCAGTGATCAATCAATTGTCACTGTTTGAATGTGTTTTTTTCCATTCTAAAGCATGATATTTTAATATTATTATTAGACAGTTATATAAACTATGAACTGAAATAATAGAAAATTATTTTCAATTGACTATTTATTTTCACGTCTATTATCTTGAATTGAATGTTTAGGAATGTAGGATTTCACTTTGTCAATTGGTTAGATATGTCAATACAATAACAGAATTGGTGAATTAAATATTAGTAGCAAGGTGTAATAACTTACCTTATCATGAAATGATAGTTATTTAAGTAGGAAACGTAATGGTTTATGCTGTCAAAATATTGCTAAAAAAGTTATGAACTATATTGAAGTTACACCAAAAAGAAGTGATTCATCAAAAATATCAGACTTCTCAAAATTTTCAATGTAACCTATTGATATTTATTGAATAGCATGGAATTTAGTTTCAAGTATTCATGTCTATTCATAATTTGAATCACTAACTATCCAAGTAAAATACACTACCACATAGATTGACTTATATTAGTGTTTAAACTACAACTTCACTGGTAGAACTCAATAAGGATTGATGATGACTAGATAATCATGAAATTAAGTGACTTATTTGATATTAAAGTTAGCTTTATTTACTTACTTACACCTGTTACTCCTTATGGAGGAGTATAGGCCACTCGTCAGCTTTATTTATAATATGATAAAGAAATTCTGATATGAACAATGGTTCAAAAACGTTACAGATCATGAAACACTAGTACTGTCACATAGTGCAGTAATATATGAAAAAAAATGTAAACAAACCTAATAAAAGTAAGAAAACAAAGTTAATGAAATAAAAATTAAAAATTGGTTGACGCCTAAGCAGTATAATTGATTATCTTCCTAAAAAACGATAAATATTTAGTTTTATTTACATTCTCGCTACATTTAATTATTATCAGAATTTTAATAATTGAATTCCCGAGTCTATGTAAGCTAGATCATGACTGAAAATCCAGAATCACTGGATCGCCGTTTCGTTATAGTTTGGAACTCCTAGGCAGTACAAATCTACAATCCCACACGCAAGACTCGAACCCAGGACCTTTGATCCCGTGCGTGGACGCCTAACCTTCAGACCGCTGATCTGATTTCGACGGTGTTAATGTCTAACTTCAATCGATCTATGATCCTGCGCAATACTTCATCCATTGTTTGAAGTGGATAACTGTCTACACCCGACACTGATTGATTTTCACTGGATCGATTGAAGTTAGACAATAACATCGTTGGATACGGAATTGGTGGTCTAAAGGTTTAGCGTTCGTACACGAGACTGAAGGCCCTAAGTTCGAATCCTGTTTGTGGGTTCGTGGATGTGGATTGCTGAGGATTCCCATACTAGGACAAAACGACCGTCCACTGCTTCCAGGTTTTCAATGGTGATCGAGGATATGTCGGCTCATGAATTCAATATTTTAAATATGTAGTTGAGTTATTTAAAAAAGAAACTTTTGTGGTGTGTATTGATTTGAGTGTTTGAATTTCGTTTAGTGACAAAATTTTATCAATTACAAGTTAAGATAGTTATTAAAGATAGCTATTAAAGAAAATCTTGGGAAACATGTTGATTATGTTCCCAAATAGTTAATTTTAAATGTACACAGTCGTGATAAGAATAAATTAGTGATAATCTACATAATTACGACATTGAAGAAGATAGATTTGATTCTTTTCAGAAATATTTATTTTCTAAATGAAATTACGAAACAAATAGCTGATAACTAACAACAAAAAAGAAAACATACTCCAAGTCAAAATCTTATTACCGATTACCTCAAAATCATCTAACATCAAATTGAATATAATTATACCGAATAGATTAATTTTAATTAAATCAAATTGTTAAACATTATTTTGCTTTGAAAATGCTTGGACCAGATTGACAGGCGAAATGTTGGATTTACTTCAAATTCTTTCGCTGAAATTTTACAAATACATTCTTCCTCTTTAATGTCTCACATTAACTCGTTGCCCAAATACTGTGAAACTATTCGTTCAAATTTAGACGAAAGTTCTTACAAAATGTTAAATAGTTTTTAATTACTCATTTCATTTACATTTCTTTTCTTTCTCCTTCTTTCTTTAAAGAAATGTTTAGTTGTTAATGTACGAAGTGATCCATGCCTTTTTACATTTGATTCACATGACTGGCTTCCATATGCTATAAGGGAGTATAGTTCAATTCAACATGTTGTGGAAAATCAACATCAGTCAGGAATAGATTTACAGGATATGGAAGTAAAATGTCGAGAAGATGTATGTTCACATTATGTTCATTTTTTATGTTGGTATGCAATATAAATTATTATAAAACATTTATGAGCTGCATAAAATGTCCTGTTGACAGCTAATTTAACTCTCCGTTTCAACATGAGACTATTTGTGTCACCTCTAAATGGTAACATAATGTAAACTCGCTTTTTGGGTGCCAGAAACGTCATCGGTCTAACAGTATTGCAACTCTTCAAGCGGTTTATGAACTTCAATGAATAACCATTATTCATTAACGTATCACTCAAGAGCTTCGTCTCTACTTCAAAAGTATCGCTAGTACAAAGACGATTGATACTATTGAATAAGTCCTTTATTAATCCACGTTTGTAATGAATTGGGCAGTGACAATGGAAATTAAGTTATTGCCCTGTCCGTGTTGGCTTTCTGTATGTATATAACGTTTGATGGAACCATCATCTTTCCTGCTAGAAAGGAAGTTGGTTGTTCTTCTCTTAATTTTCATATAAAAATGTCTTAACAAGTTTATACGTGATCAGATTGTTCGAAATGTATTGAACAAATATATCACATAATTCTGATAAACTTTGTTTTCTCATTGCATTATCGAAATTTATCAAAGGGATTAATTGTTTTAAATCTATTTTATTCACTAATTCATTAAAATTTAAGTTGCAAAATGATCGCTGAACTGTTAAAGCTATGTCAGTATTGAAAGTTAACTAATATTCTATAAGCCTAATCAAAACGGATTCTCAGTGGTTAATAAAGTATCTGAATAAAATCAAAGCTTGATGAAGTCCTCTAAATTATTTCAGGATGATATCTGACAAAGAAACACAAAAATGTTAGTTTATGGTTTTTGATAATAATAATAATAATATTATAATAATAATCATAATCATAATAGACGCTAATAGATATATTTTTATGTCTCCAAAGTGTTTACCATTAATAACCACCACAATGTCCATACTTCTGCAAAAATAGAAAGAAAATTTATTCATTCAACAATAGTGTTTTTTAAATTCACTTGGTATTATTTACTTGAATCTTCCCATTGATATTTAAGACTGCGATTGATCAGTCTGTTATTGACATATGTGCGTACTGTGCGTATGTCTTGATGTCGCCTTAATTCACAAGCATTATATGAAAAGATGGATAGTGGCTAGCAGTGGAATCCAGGACAAGCAAATGGCTATAAGGGCTCAATAGCCAAGTGGATCACGCGATGGCGTTTGGCGTGAATGGCAATGGGTTGGAGTCCCAGAGTGAACATCAACTCTAGGAATCAGGTACATACAGCTGACGAGTCCCAAATGGGACGAAACGCGCGTCCTGGATTCCACTGCTAGCCACTATCCATCTTTGATAATATTGTTTTTTCTTTATGTTCAACGATACTTATGACAAGTATCATATTCTTTACCATAATTAATATTTCAAGTTACGGGTCTATTTTAATTACTGGGATGGATCTCTTTTAGCTAAAATTACAACTTTGATTTCAATTAATACTACTATACTTTATAAAGATTTGTAGTGTCGGTTACTATGTTATGCCCATATAACTTATTCTAGTTTTTGGACAGGCCAATTTATCAATTCTTCTTGAGTCATGTTTTAACTTTGTTAATTATTCACTTATCAATGTTCTTATATGAGCATATGTGTGTACACTTCTTGTCCCATTCATCACATGCCTGTAACTTATTTTTGTGTGACTATAAATATCGATTAACGCTTGATTAAATTGAGTTGTCTCACACGCCTTCTTCACCAGGCATTATTTCATTTCACTTCGTTTCTTTGATCATTTGTCTCGATCAACAAGTGTACAAAATATACCTATTGAAACATCCATTCTCGTATTTGACTCAGTTAATTCCGTTATTCACTAATGCCAGTTAAGTCAGTCATCATATACGAGAATTGGCGAAATATATATTTCAACAACCATTCATACGATCTAAATGAAGTGAGATCCCGGGGTCACGAAACTTTTAACTTAAATAATAAACTGATTTTAAATACAAAATTTATTTTATCATATTTCGACATTAAGGTTAATCCATCATACTATTTAAATTATAATTGAAATTTTCATACACTATTTACTACCATACTACTGTAGTGAACAAGAACCCCAGTGGGGACAATCGGATGTATTTAACACAAAATTACGGGACTTGTTAATAAAATCTAACAATCATAAAGTGAATGCTTGATTTGCAAAATGTCCACCAATTGTCTTAAAATGACTCAGATTTCATTGTTCTTGCATTTACATACAAATTGCATCCTGTTTCCATTCTTTACTGTTTGATCCTCTTGTCTCTTTGCTGCCAGACCTTCTGTTCACGACTAACATCTTATACTACTTATGTCAATATAAGTAGCACACACCACACTACTTTATTATAAGTAAAACCTTGTGTTTAAATGTTATTTTCCTGAATTTTGTTTTCATTGTATTTAATTAGGTAATTTCAATAGTTAAAGCTAAAGAGAAAGTGTATTTTATTTTTATGATGATATAACATTTTTTGAAAATCAACCAATAGCACGTAAAGCTACAGCACCTGATTATTTATTAGTTGGAGAAGAAATCTATAATGGAGCAATTGTTGGTAAACATGGTATACGGTAAGTTAAAGTGATTTTTATTTTATTTTATTGTTTTTTTAGACCGTCATTGAAAACCTGAAAGAACTGGATGGTCATTTCGTTCTCCATAACAGTGCTCATCGCACACGGGATCCAAACCCAAAACCCTCGGTCTCACACATGTACGCTTAGCCTCTAGACTACTGAGCTAGCGCCCAACGGTATTGGTGTTTAATTTCAACCAGACCCAATATTTTATTATAAAAATAATGATTTGGTTTTCAAATGACACTTAGACTAATTATATAAGATGTAAATATTGTAGAATTATTTATTAAATGATAGTTTAATCATAATGAACCGAAATTAGTTGATAAATAATTGTAGATGTATTAGTTGTGAATAGATGTTTAACTGTTCTCTAAGAAATAATAAATTGTTACGGTTCGTTATTGCTTGAATGCTATTACTGATGCGTCTTACTCGAACGAACGAAGGATCAATGATTCAGCGACTCGATAGCTATTCTGGTTCGTTGTCCCCAACTCTGCTAACTCGATCAAGAAGTCTGGGTAAGGTGTAGAAAGTGTATTCTACAGACAAACAGCAGATAACAAGTCAAATCAAACACACAAATCAAGCGTCTGAATGACGAAACTTCAGAAAATCTAATTTCTCTACTCACTGAGATTTTACAACTACATTAATTTATTGATACCAATCTACCCAATGCTCAAGTTATTCAAAATGATCAAGTCAAATCTTGGTAACGACATCTACAAGTAGTTGAGTTTTTTTGTCTTGTTTGCAATAGTTGTTTTCCAAAAAACAATGTTATTTTACGAAATGAAATAACTACAAAGTAACCAATTATCTCAAATGTATTATTTCAACAACAAGAACAATAAAGATCCGATGAGAAGTATTTATCATTCATAATTATTCATAAATATTTGATTATTTATTCTCTGAAGAAGTGGCTTACACCAAGTCACGAAACGTCAGAAAATCTAATTTTTCTATTCATTGGGATATTACAAATATATTATTCTTATTTATAAATATTTCAGTTATATCCGATTGAATTTTGTACCTGGAAAATTTCCTTTAGAAGAAGAAGTTGATCGATTTATAGATGAGATACGTGTAAGTTAATTTTACTATTTACTTATTTCTCTATTAATTAATCGATATTTTCAATTAAGATACATATCTGAAGCATGAAGAAAAAAATTTTGTAAAATGAAATTAAACTGAAAAATATTCTCGGTAGCAACATATTATTGATTATAAATGTTAAAAATCAATGAAAATTTATGCTTTCATTTATGCTAAGGATTCGTAACAATTATTAAAAATAATTTTCTTTGAGATGGTGAAGAAGATTTGTAGCTTAGGTGGATGATTTTGATGAAATTTTATTTTTTGAGCTGGATTGTTTTGTCGTGGAGTTTTCATCGTTCTTATCAGTAGCACAAACTCCATATATGGTTCACAGCTTGTCCTGTCGACCTCGATGTTGATTGGTCCTTCTCGACCTTAAACTTGTCATTGTTTACATTCTTTGTTTCGATTGTATCTCCTATTGGTTTGATTTTCGTTTCTATGTTTGTCCATAATTTTCCTAATTATATCATAAATTGGATCGATTTCAATGTGTTTGTTGATTGCTGATTGACCTGAGTGCCAAGCTTCTAAAAATTCTCTGGTGTTTTTAGAGTTGTGTTGATGATGTCGTCCAAAAAAACGCTGAAAGCTCTGCGACCAAACCATCTAAGTCATAGAACACAACTCCATCAAAATAATATTCTTTAATTATAATAGATAGGAAATATTTCCGACATGTAAATATTAACAAATAGAAAACTTGACTTTTAATCATCTTCTCCTGTGATTGAAATAAAATTCATGAAACTTAAGGTCGATTACTTTGATAAAATGTTGGAGAAATAGTTTCAAACTAATAATGAATTTCTCATGAAGTGAATATGTCTACATACATTTCTCAAGTTGACAACTATGGTAGAAGAATAGTTTTAATTTTTTAGTTTGTATATAGTTTGGGACTTACCATTTCAGAAAAGCCAAAATAACTAACCCTTTGTTCCTCTTGTTGATGATCCTACTATTTTTTTTTGAATGAACATCTGTTGATAACAACGTTTCATAAGATCTTCCTCATTAATAAAAATAACAATGTTGTTTGAATGCTTTGTTATTTATGCGTCCATTACTACTGATTTTCAATGATGAAAAACAGTGATATCGTTCCATTTTGAATGGAACACGAAAGGATATATATATATATATATATATATATATATATGAGAGAGAGAGAGAGAGAGAGAGAGAGAGGGGGGGGAGGGAGAGATGGCGTTGTTGTGACTTAGCTTCGTTAATGAAATCACCTTGATAACCGTTATTAAATAAATTTCAACCATGTTTAAAAATCAGAAGGCAATAATAAGCGACGACTACAGTTTATTAGAGGATAGCAAAGATAACAAAGTTACAAACACATCAATCAAATTTATTATTATCAGTGGCTTTACTAAATCTTATAGTTTTGGTACAATATACAATCCTCAATATATAATATTTCAACAAGTCTCCTCTTCTTATTACTTGATCGATCTTCACGATAAATATTGAATGGTCACCTGTCAGATGTCAACAGTTTAGGAATCAATATCTGAATAATGTACATCCTTTTCTCTGCATATTGTCAGCAATCACGATTTCTCTGATTGGGTTCTTTTATAACTTGTGTAGTGAAATGTTGTAAACTGTTCACAAATGCACATGAATAGTTTATGCGACTAATAGACATAATGATGTGTTAAAACAAAGAAGAGAATAGATAAGTTGTTGAAATATTTAGATGACAGGATTAGGTATCCCAGATATTCAAACAGGTCGCCTTTTTTAGAGTAGAGAGGTGTATATATGTGTATGCGAGCAAATACAGAAGCGGATTTATGGTCAATCGAATAAGGCGCAACTAGGCAAGGCAAAGGCTAATAATAGGACTTGAGTACATATATACACGGGAAAAAGAATAGTTCATTGAGTAATATTTAAGTTATTAACATTTAGGCTAAAGAGAGATATGTGCGTAAACTGTTACATGTGATCAAGTGTACTTATTTATACAGACAAGATAGTGATCATAAGAGTACAAAAAAAAACATGAGAATTGTTACTTTCAAATAATGTTTTTCTGTTTAGTAGGTTAATAAAAGGGCTCAACATAAATTAACCATAATTAAAATTGGTTGTAGGATAGATATTTATAATGATAGAATAAAATGAAACTCGTTATGGTTACGAAAAGTTGATAAACAGAAAACACGTACATAATTTTTGGAATAAACATTCCTTCTGTTATGTATTATCATTTAACAATCTAGTTGAAGGTTCATCTATATCAGAAAAATTATTTCGGCCAAAAAATTTACAGTGATATATTCTTAACATATTTTTTAAAACTTTTCCAGACGATTCTTCAGTGGCTAATGAGTTTTCTTTAATGTTCACGAATAAAGCAATAGAGTTTCTTAGTTTATATAAGAGACAAAGTACTTATTTATAACTTCATGAGAATTGGCTAAGTTCTTAATTATTATATATTGATATAACAATTATTATTATCAACCATTATAAACAGATATGATAGTGGCTAGAAGTGGAATCCAGGATTCGAGTTTCATCTTATTTAATGCTTGTGAATTAAGGCAATATCTAAGCAATATGTACAGTATACACATAGGCCAATAAGAGATCGATCAATTGCAGTCCTAACCATCGATGGGAAGATTTAAACAACCAATACAAAAATATTTTATTAATAAGCTTTTTATAGTTTATTTTACTCTGATAGTTATTTTAAAATGAAACTTTTTATTGATGGATATCATTAAAACTATCAGAGAACATCTATGGTATTTTTTTGTTATTGCTTGAACTTCGTTTCACGTTGTGGGTTGAAGATTTGGTGATAGATTAAAAATAAGAACACTACATACTGTAGCGAGAATATTACCATGAAAATATTAAGGTGGGATCTGATTCTAATTGATTTACTGATAATAATCTTTCGATAGTACTATGTGTCCAATACAGTTAATACCAGTATCTATGGTGATAATATGACTATGGAAAGATTTAGTATTGCTAGATCCGTAATTATTTGACTCCAATTTGATCGTATGTTGATTATCATTTTCGACTTATACGTATTGTTAATCCTTGTATATAATCATCGACTTAAATAGTGTTAGTGAAAAAATGGAACTAAATAAATCAAATATGAGAATGGATTTCGAATACGCATATTTCATGCAATGATTGATCCAAACAGACGATCAAAGAAATGAAGCGAAATGAAATGATGCCCGATGGAAAAGGAGTGTGAACCAACTCGATTTAACCAAGTGTGATTCGATATTTATAGTCACACAAAAAAATAATTTACATACATGTGATGAGTAAGGTAAGAAATGAACACAATTACACTTATATAAAAACAGTCAAGGTTAATAAGCGATTAAGTGACAGGGTAAAAATGTGGCTTGAGAAGAATGAATAGGTTGATCTTCCCAGAGACTAGAATAACCTATGCAGGTTTGACATAATATCAACCCCTAGAAGTAAAAAAAATATTTTAATAGTTGAATTCATGAGTCAATTAAAGCTAGATCATCATGGAAAACCTGGAAACACTGGACGGCTGGTTCGTCCTAGTACGCAACTCAGCAGAACGTATTCACGATCATCCACCAAGGGATTCGAACCAAGGTGCTATCGGTCTCGCGCGCGAGTGCTTAACCTCTAGACCACTGAGTCAGCCGGTATCCAACGGTGTTAATGTCTAACTTCAACTAATCCACGAAACTGAGTCACCATCCATCATTGTTATCAGTGAGTTACTATCACATAACAGACCCGGTTGAACTCTACTGGTCACCGCTTCTCACTAGAACTCCAGGATATACCTCTTGAAGCCAGTCACTAATAAGCACATGATGATTATAATCAGAGAAATGTTGAATTCATGAGTCATTTGAAACTAGATCACCATGGTAAACCTGGAAGCATATTATTATCATCAACAATAACTTTTTCCAATTAAATATTATATAAAGGGGTTATTTCAAATTTTATTAAAATGTATAATAATTATAGTAATATATTATTATTAATTTTATTGTTTCACTTTATAATTTTTTTTTATATTCTAGCATATTTGTTCAGATTCATTGCCAAAATATGTAAATCCTTCTAACAAATCAATGCTAAAAACAGGATCATCTCATGATCAAGTATCTTCATTTATACATAAAATGATATTACCGCATTTTTTAATTACTGGTCATAAAATTACAGATGGTTCTATACAACTTGGTTTAGTTATGGGACATTTAACATTGAAATCATTAAGTAGTATTTTTCAATCAATTAATCCTGATTGTGAACAAAAAAATGTATTACAATCGAATCAAACTACATCATTATCAAATACAAAATATCAATCAAAAATGAAAATAATTATACTATTTATAATCCTATTAGTAATGCTAATAGTCATAGTAGTATTATTATAAAATCAGATATGATAGCAAAAAATCATAATAAAGTATTTAATGAAATTACATTTACTAAAAAAATGAATTTATTAAAAAAAGGAAAATTTCATTTTGTTCGACAACTTGGTCGTTATTTACCATTTATGGTACAAATTAAAGAAGAAGTAAGTGATACAATGATATTTGATTTTTTTTTTATTTTATGAAATAAATAAGTTCTCATTGTTATTTAGGAGTACAATTGATCAGTTTCATGTTGACATATATTCATCCTGTACGTCCTGGATTCCACTGTTAGTTACTATTCATCTTTGCTTAAAAAGCTTGTAACTTAAGGCTATATCGAGGCAATCTGCACAGGATGTACATATGCTAACATGTGACTAATCAATTAAAATTCTAAATATCAGTGGAAAGATACAAGTAAAACAACACTAAGAGAATGTAAACTTTATCTCATTGTACAAGCAAGTGGCTATCAGGACTCAGTAGCTAAGTGGATAACATGATGGCGTCTGGAGTGGTTAATACTGGGTTTGAGTCCCGTGGAGAACATCAACCCTGAGGTGCAGGCACATCCAGCTGACGAGTCCCAAATAGGACAAAACGCGCTTCCTGGACCTTTGCTTAAAACAAAACTTTGGTTTTCTTAAATTTTGATTTAGAAAAAACAATTTACATGTTAATATAATATAAATGGAACTAATATAGTCACGCAACATAATGGATTGGTTGAAGTTAGACATTAGATGCTAGATCAGTGGTCTAGAGGTTGAGCGAAAGCGCGTGAAACCGGAGATCCTGGGTTCGAATCCCATATGCGAGGGTCGTGAATGTGTACTTCTGAGGAGTCCCATACTGGAACGAAATGGCCATCCAGTGATTCCAGGTTTTTAATGGTCGCTTCATGATTTTAATGTTATTCAATATTTCTGAACAACCCAAACTGAGAATGGCCTACTAACTTGAATCATTGCACATTTGTGTCAAGCTACACGTTGATTGTAACTGACTGACTAAACATATTTTACAATCAAAAGCCAATCAAAATAAAGGTAGAGAGTACCAGTTTTTTACTCAAAATCTTAAATGTAATATTAATTAGCATTTACTTTATAAAATCTTTATAAAAGCGATTTGTATATAGAGTTTAAACTGTTCGAAAATGATAAAATATTATCTCTTGTGCAATCATATTAGTGAAAATGACATGAGTGGATAATTATGTTTCAAGATTACCTTATACAGATTCCATCTGGAATTTAATTCTAAAGGAATTCTTTTCTCGCTCTTTTCTTCTGAATGAAAGCTTAACTAGATCAAATTGTTATAAATGTATCAGATAATAGACAATTTTATTCCATATAAATGTTTGATAACATCGAAATTTTCAGTTATGTAACTGATATCGTAACCTCATTTCATTATTCTTTGACAAAAGTTCATGCAAATGTGAAAATTGTGAAAGGTTTTATCTATACAAATATATCCCAGTAAAGAGATTAAGGATAAACTGTTTTCTAGAATGAATTAGGTTTCACAAAGAATGTAGTTTACTTAATGATAGAGAAATCTGGTTATAAATCCTTGGTGAACTAGCATCGCATAGAACTGCTACATATATTTCTTTATTCAATTTGTTTCTTTGATATACAATTAAGTCCTTATACATTGTAGGGATAGTTTTTGAGTCTGAACGATCATTTAGTTCACTAACTAATATACGAAATAAAATTGTTATAGTCATCTCTAAGATCGTTGAACGTAACCACGATAATATATATAAATGTATACATGGCGTGGACATAGTTATATTGGAAGTGTGATCAATGTTTAACATCTATACTTCAGGGGTGCCTTGATATTCATCTATCAACAGGTGAGACAAAATTGTATGTGAAACACAAATAAAACTACACAAAAGGACAATCACATCTATAACTTTATTTTTAATCATTATATTGTTAACAAACCACAATTTATTTAACCATAAATTTTATTAATGAACGATTACTTTGGAGTCTAGTAGATTCGAGTTCCTTTTTGTATCATCCGTGTGAACTGGTTAAAACATTTACTTTGTATAAGAGTTAATGAAGTTTAACCACAAGCGTAATGTTCGAATTATTTTCATTTATATGTCATGATCTGGAATAAAAAATTGAATTAACTAAAATCAGTCAGAAAAATAGATGACAATTTGCTTATATATATTTTAAACTTTCAACTCCGCATCAGGTAAAGGATACAGATGTGATGGTGGTTGGAGGTAGTCAAGAGGAATCTCTGGACCCAGTTTTCGTGCTATTTGGAACTCGTCAGCAAGATGTACCTGTAATCTTGATGGAACTGATGCTTCCTGACAGATTCGGTCCCGTATCACCCAGCTTCCTGTTGAATACCTTCAACCACCATCTTGTCTCAACATAGTACACACAATGTCGAGTCACCTAAACTGATGGTCACACTGCAACTTAGTCGATAGGATTCGATCTGCACTAAGAATGACCTGACACACATGACACTGATCACCACTCAGTGGTCATTGAATTGTGAAAGGGTACAGATGTTGACGCTTGATTGTTAACATTTACAAAATGCCAGTACTTATTCCTCTAAATCCTACAGAAGGAAACAACATTTTTAAAATGTACTTCATCAGTTTTTTTAGTACATTCTAGAGGTTGACTTATTTATATTTTTCTTAATATGATAAGTGAATCTCACGGTTACCAATCTAAATATGTAATCTAGAGCTTTCTAAAATCTGAAAGTCCTAGACAATCCATGCGGAAACCATTTGAATTTTGTATCAGAAAAAAGATTGATTTTAGGCTTTAACTTGATTTTAATCTTTTGATTCGCATAAACTTCACAATTTGTAAAACATTTTTAGTCAGCACATCTAGTTCAAGATGAGTATGTATTCTTATGTTTTATTATAGAAATGTGTATTACATTAGTTCATAAATTTGCACATTTATTTCAGGTGGATAACGCTATTGATGATTTTGATGATGTAATTAATTTACGTGAAGAAATAGTTGACTGTATTATTGAATTTATGGGACTTCCAATAACCGATGAAAGTGATGTATGTTGAAAAAAATTTATTTAATAAGTAACTTTCTCCTCTAAAATTATCAGATAATATTGTAAAATTTTGATATGTATTAAAAGTTAATATTGAATACAAGAATATATGAATCTATCAAGGTATGCATTCATGAGTCGCTGTAAGCCAGATCATCCTTGAAAATCTAGAATCACTCAACGACCGTTTCGTTCTATTATCAGACTCCCAGACCGTGCACATCGACAACACCAAACATGGGACTCGAATCCAAGACTCCCGGTACCGTACACCTTCGCTTAACCTCCAGAACACTGATCCACCATACAACACTGTTAATATCTAACTTCAATCGATCTATGTGTTTGAGCAACACTTCATCAATTGTTTGAATTGGATAAATGTCCCACACTCAACACGGATTGAACTCTACTGGTTACGACTTCTCACTAGAACTGTAGGAAATCCATCTTGGATCTAGTCACTAGTGAGCATATGATGATTATGATTAGAGTTGGAATTTGTGCAAATTGTAATGATTTTAATAGGGGAATTCATGAGTCCAGTGCTTCCAGGTTTTCAGTGGTAGTATATCTTACATCGAATCATGAATTCAACTATTAAATTCACTACAATCTCCACAACTCCTCATTCTGAATACATACATAAATGTTTATTTCAGGGCTTTATTTCATATTATATTTTTGGTACAATATACAATTCTCAACATATAATATTTCAACAAGTTTCCTCTTCTTATTTCTTGATCGATCTTCACGATAAATATTGAATGGTCACCTGTCAGATGTCAACAGTTTAGGAATCAATATCTGAGTAATGTACACTCTTTTCTCTGCATATTGTCAGCAATCACGATTTCTCTGATTGGGTTCTTTTATAACTTGTGTAGTGAAATGTTGTAAACTGTTCACAAATGCACATGAATAGTCTATGCGACTAATAGACATAATGATGTGTTAAAACAAAGAAGAGAATAGATAAGTTGTTGAAATATTTAGATGACAGGAATAGGTATCCCAGATATTCAAGCAGGCCTCCTTGGTCTTACAACATAATATTTTTTGTGATGGACTCATTCTATGATAATATTTATTGAAGGATACAAGTATATCTTAATAAATTACACAAGAAATAATACATGTATGATGAAAGCATTTACACATATTATAATTTGATAAAAATATTATTAGTAATGATCATGTTTAATTTTAGAAAAAACTTGGTATATGTTCATAAGATCGTTGTCTGTTAACTTGAGACCCTAAATGACATCATGGTACATATATATATGCTTATTCACTAAATAATTATTGATTGTCAATTCGATTCACATATATTTGTTTTATTTAAACTATATGATCATTATAAGCAAAGATGGATAGTGGTTAGCAGTGAAATACATTACGCGTGTTTCGTCTTATTTGGGACTCATCAGCTGGATGTATCTGCATCTCAGAGTTGATATTCACTCTAAGATTCGAGCCTAGTACCATTCACATCAAACGCCATCACGTTTTTGACTTCAGGCAATATCAAGACAGTCCGTACAAGATGCACATATATCAACAAGAGATTGATCAATTGCAGTCATAAATAACAATGTAAAGATACAAGTAAATAACATCAAGTGAATATATGCTTATTGTTTACCAAGGTTGATCATATTATTTACACTTTATTTTAAATATTTTCAATGATAATATTATTCTTTTATATGTACTTTAGAAAAGCTTATTATGTAAAACATTATATGAACGAACTATTGATCGAATGGAAAGATATCATTTATTAATCTGTTTTAATGCATATCTTAGAGAACAAGTAAGTTTATTTATTCAATTAATTATTTAATTAATTAATTAAATATTTAGATGCAATTAAGATTTAGTGAAAATTTTTCAACATGGATGAAACATCAACTACGTCTTTATCAAATTATGGATGTTTTAGATATATCTGAATGGCATACATCAATAGATATGTTAAAATATGAACATCGTGTATTAGTAAGTTAATTAATGATTAATTTATCATTTTTTTAATATGAAACAAGAAAACTATTTCAAACTAAAGAAGAAAGCAATTGAGTGAAGAAATTTCTTTTCAATTAGTTTCTCATCATGATTTACAATAATGAAATACTACTCATCGAGTGGATATGTTACGTAATAATTATATAATGACATTTTGATTATAAATGAACGTTGAGTAATTGGAAAAGAAAGGATTGATAATAATCAAAGTAATTATTTGAAAACCAAGAAGTTTCTACGTTGTATAATATAGGACGAAACGGCCGTCCAGTGCTTCCAGGTTTTCCATGGTGGTCTAGCTTCAATTGACTCATGATCTTAACCACTGAAATTACTATAATATCCACAAAACCTCTTCTGATATATATATATATATATATATATATATATATATATATATATATATAATATTTTGATGAATGGTCATTAGAATAGTAGTTATGTAAAAATCAAGAGATGAATGTTGAGAATAAGTAAAATACAAAATTCAAGAAACAAAAATGGAAAAATTACAAAAGTAGTTTAACAATGTTCTGCTACAAACGCCCCTATACCGATGGCGAAGGTAACGAAAGTGGTTATACAAACTTCTTTTGGATGCAAAGGTTAGATTTTTGAACATGGATTGCAATGGCTTCAGCAATGTGCAAAAGACACACTTGTAAACCATGTTGTAAATTTGATGGAATATTGTAAATAACCTTAAAAGCTTTATTCAATTCAACTTGATGACCTGTGTTAACCAAGTGACCGAGAATAGAACTCTTACTTGTCTTTTGCTCAACCACAACGGATGGTGCTCTGTTATACGATGACGATTATGTAATTATTACGTAACGTATCCACTTGATGAGTATTATTTCATTATTGTAAATCATATATATCTATTAGTGTAGAGTCATGATGGAAAACTAATTTCACTGATTGAAATCATGAGTAAATTGAAGCTAGACCATCATGAAAAACCCGAAAGCACTGGACGACTGTTTCATTCGACTGTGTGACTCCTTGGCAGTGCGCATCCACGATCCGACGCCCGCGAGATTCGAACACAGGATTTATCAGTCTCGCGCCAGGCGCTCAACCAACTAGACCACTGAGCCGGCATTTGATCGTGGATGAGCACTGCTGAGGAGTCGCATACTAGGACGAAACGGCTGTCCAGTGCTTCCAGGTTTTCCATGTTGGTCTAGCTTCACTTGGCTCATGATTTCAATCAGTGAAATTTCTAAAACTCTCCATAAAAGCCCTTCTGAAAAACTAATTGAAGAGAAATTTCTTCGCTCGATTTGTTCTTTCTTTACTTACCAAATGTCAAAATTGGAATTTTCATTATTTCAAACTGTTTTCATCTTACCGATTATTTTTTGAAATTATTGATAAAGTTTTCTACTTCACATTCATAAGATTAATGTTTGATTTTATTTTTTGACTTAAATAGGTAACAGATAGTTCACTTCATGTAGATGAATTAAGTACACAACGAATTACTGGTCTTGGTAATTTTCGTCAATTAGCTGGTGTACCAATTTGTGGTTCAAGTCAACCAGATACAAATGGTATTATTCATTTACATAATGTTTTAACAAAAGCATATTGGAATATGTCACTAAAAAATATAAGACCAGTTGTACATGAATTAAATACTAGTAAAAAAGGTTCAGAGAAATCATCAAATGGTAAAGAGGTAAATAGTTATGCAGTTATAATACCACAAATGATATGGATATGTCTACGTGATGATTATGTAGTTAAATATTCAGGTGAAACATGTAGTTGGAGAGAAAAATATAAACCAGAAGATTCAATAACATTACGTGGAGCTAATGGAATGGAACTTGAGGTTTGTTTTTAAACATTATTATTGTATATTATTATTTATATCTTTATAATTAGAAAAAAAGTTATAAGGGCAATATGTTTATTTTTTGATAAAATTTCTTAAATATTTTTGAATTTGTTAAAAACAGTGTTTTGAGAGAAATCATATCAAATTTTCATTCATGTTTATCAATCAACCATTTTGTGATATGTTCATAGATACTGCTTCATATATAAGTTGATCTACTTTCACAATCCCTATACTAGTAATTAACATGTGCTCATTAGTGACTAGCTTCGTGAGGGAATTCTCGGAGTTCTAATGAGAAGCCTTGACCAGTGGAGTTAATCCATGTCGGGTAGAGACAAGTATCTATCTCAGTACAATGGAAGATGGTCGTGCAATTTCGTGGATTGGTTGAAGTTAGACACTATCATCATTAGATGCCGGCTCAGTGGTCCACTAGATTAAGCGTTCGCGCGCGAGACTGAAGGCCCTGGGTTCAAATCCCACGAGAGTTATCGTGGATGCGCACTGCTGAGGAGTCTCACAATAAAAAGAAACGGCCATCCAGTGCTTCCAGGTTTTCAATGGAGGTCTAACATGAATGAGTTCATGATCTCAATCAAAAACTTAATATTCTCCACAACCCCTATGCTAGAAGTAAATATAGTTGCTTCAAGTTTTGACAATTTATTTCAGCTTGTTAATTATATTACATAATCATTTCAACTTAAACCATTATATAGATCAACATGAACTTATTCATTAAACAATAATAAACAATATGAAAATGAATGAGTAGAAGAATATAGTCTGTTTTACTGAAATTTGTTAATATTAATGAATGGCTTATAGGATATTCGGTAATTCGACACAATCCACACATTAAAAGTTTTAATTATTTAATATAAAAAGGAGTACTTGTGGATATTATAGTAATTCCAATAGTTAAAATCATGAGTCAATTGAAGCTAGACCATCATAGAAAACATGAAAGCACTGGATGGCTGTTTTGTTGTATTATGGGACTCCTTATCAGTGTAAATCCACGATCCCGTCTCGCAAGACTCGAACCCAGGACCTATTGTTGTGAGATAGTAACTCACTGAAGACAGTGGTGAATGTGTCGTTCAATATCGTAGATTAATTAATGTTAGACATTAACACAGTTAGATGCCGGCTCATTAGTCTAGAGGTTAAGCGTTCGCGCTAGAGACAGATAGGTCCCGGGTTCAAATTTCGCGAGGTGGGATCGTGGATACATACTGTTGAGGAGTTACACAGTAGAATAAAACGGCCGTCCAGTGCTTCCAGGTTTTTCATAGTGGTCAAGCTTCAATTAACTCATGATCTCAACAATTGAAATTTTAATTGTTTAATAATTAATTTAGACATTTTTATTGCTTTTTTAATGAAATTAGAAATTAATTTACTGAAAGCGAGTTCTCGAAATTTGTATGAATAGTGGATATTCGTTTGTCTTTAAAGAAATGTAGAATACTCTCCATTTTCTTCTTGGCCAAACGAATTCACTTATAGAAATTTATAAAATGAAAATTTTATGAATATAATTTTACACAAATTCATTTGATCTTTTCTTAAGCAAAATATATGCTAAAAGAAAATTCATGATCCCATGTAATTCCAGGGTAAATGTAACTGATTACTAACAGCAGTTTGAATTCTATAGGATCTTACTATGTTAATTATCATCTGCTGAAATTACGACAAAGACAAGAAGCGTTTTAGTTATTAGTTTAGGTTAATCAATTGCATTTACATTTTTAAATCAGACATTTCAATACACAAGGAGTTTCTAAGAATGAAAAAAAGTTGGAATAGAATTAACAATCGAACTAAGAAGTTATATTAATAAACTAGTAACCGTCCAAACTACTTAGATATTAATTTACTTACTTACTTACTTACTTACTAACTTACTAAAGCCTGCTACCAATAACAGAGAAACAGAGACCACCCAAAAACATTCGCCATCCAACACTGGCCTGACTAATCATTTCCACTTCTTTCCACTTGCTATTCATCATTTTCATATCCGCCCACAATTCACAAGCAATGTGTTATTCAACTTTCCTCTTTTCCGTTCACATTCAACATCCCAAGTTACAGCTTGCCTCGTGATGCACATTGGTGGTTTTCTCAATGTGTGTCCTATCCACTACCAGCACATCTTCCTAATTTCCTCTTCAGCTGCAAGTCAGTTTGTCCTCTCGCACAGTAGGCTGTTCCTGATGCTATTCGGTCAACGGATATTGAGTATCTTGCGTAGACAACTATTTAACAAATACTTGTACCCTTTTGATGATGGCTGTGATATTTGCCTAAGTTCCATCTCTATACAGTAGAACTATGTGTCCTGACGTTCGTATTGAAGATTGTGACTTTGACATTGGTTGACAGTTGTTTCGAGTTCCATGAGTTCTTCAACTGTAGGAATGATGCCGTTGCTTTGCCAATCCTCGCCTTCACGTCTACATTGAATCCTCCTTGTTCATCGATGATGCTACACAAATACCTGAATGATTCCATCTCTTCCATGGTTTCTCCATCCAGTGTGATTGTATTGGTGTTCTCTGTGTTGTATTTCAGGATCTTGTATTTTCCCTTGTGCATGTTGAGGCCCACTGACGTAGAGCCTGCTGCTATACCGTTTGTCTTGACTTGCATTTGTTGGTGCGTATGAGGTAGAAGATTGAGGTCATATGCGAAGTCCAAATAGTCTAATTGCATCCAACCTGTCCACTGTATTCCGTGATTCCCGTCAGATGTGGAGGTCTTCATAATTCAGTCGACCACCAGGAGGAAGAGGAAGAGAGAGAGAGAGATTAGGCATGGTTGTCTGACTCTGGTCGTTACTTGGAATGTATCTGTCATCTGTCCTTGATGTACGATTTTGCACTGTAGTCCGTCGTAAATTGTTCAACTACATTGAAGCTATTACATCAAACAGATCTGTATTCAATTTTCAGTACTTTTTTGTTCTTGTTGTCCATTTATTAATATTTAACTATTATTTCTTGATTATCTTTTCATATACTGATATGTCTATATTTATTTGTGTTTAAATAATGTTAATTTTCGGATATGATTTTCTTTTTCGATATTTTCTACACAGGAAATGGAACAAAAATTTGCTAATTCAGTCAGTAAAATAAAACCTCCATGTAAATTATTCAAATTAAATGATAATGGGAAATTATCGATGATTAATATTGAATCAACTGATCAACAACTTGAATTATTAAGTTTAAAACAAATGTTTAAACAAGCATTTAATATGGTGAATACAATAAATTCATCAGTATCATCATCGTCTAATAATATTAATAATAATAGAATAGAGGTATCATCAATTCATGGCACATTGATTGATAAAGTACCTAGTTCCTATGCAATTTATTTGAATGAACATGCTATGTATCATCGTGTTCCGTTGCCAAATTATGGTCATCCACCTCCACCGGTAATTTCATTATTCAATATTTTATATTCTTCATTAAACTGATTGATTTTTATCTAGGTATATATATATATATATATATATATATATATATATATATATATATATATATATATATATATATATATATATATATGTATATATATATATATATATATTTAATTAATGAAAGTATATTTTTAAGCAAAGATGGATACTGGAATCCTCGATGCGCGTTTCGTCCTATTTGTAACTCGTCAGCTGGATGTACCTGTATCTCAGATTCGATATTCACTCTGAGACTCAAACTCAGTACCGTTCACTTCAAAAACCATCGTGTTAACCACTTAGGTGCTGAGTCCGGACAGACACCTGTATGTGCAATGTGGTGAAGTTTAAATCCACTTGGTGATGTTTTACTTGTTTTATTTGGTACTTATGTAAGGAGAAAATACGTAATCATGCACAGGCAATATATACGTTTGTATAAGTAATAATCAACATCGTATACACTGATGAAATGAATTATTATTGTAATTTAATATGATAGTCTTGTAAATAATATTCTGATGAGTAAATAATGATAAATTCATTCAATTTCTCGAAATTTTTCGATCAAAATGCTATAATAAATTGAGCTATTTGTCAATTTACTTCTTTGACAAATTTCATAGATACCCATGTTTTTGTAAGAACAGTGAAAATCAAATATCGCTGTGATGTAACCAGTAATCTATTGTTTTCGGTAACAATTATTTTGTTTATTAAGAACCTCTTATCACCGAATGAAAATTAAACTTTTCATCCTATTTACAAATCACAATTCTAATCATAATCATCATATGCTCACTAGTGACTAGATCCAAGATGGATTTCCTACAGTTCTAGTGAGAAGTCGTAACCAGTAGAGTTCAATCCGTGTTGAGTGTGGGACATTTATCCAATTCAAACAATTGATGAAGTGTTGCTCAAACACATAGATCGATTGAAGTTAGATATTAACAGTGTTGTATGGTGGATCAGTGTTCTGGAGGTTAAGCGAAGGTGTACGGTACCGGGAGTCTTGGATTCGAGTCCCATGTTTGGTGTTGTCGATGTGCACAGTCTGGGAGTCTGATAATAGAACGAAACGGTCGTTGAGTGATTCTAGATTTTCAAGGATGATCTGGCTTACATGGACTCGTGAATTCAATTGTGAAAAATGTTTCATACTTTATGAACAAACGATTAGAGATGAGTGTTATTTTGGTAATGAGATCTCTTTAAATACATTTATTATTTATCTTTTTCTTAGGCTATGCAGTTGCTCTGTTGTAGTAAACAAATAATTTCTCTCATTTCCACAACCCAGAAAGTAATAGTAATTATTGAACCTACTATCCAAAGACTTTTTGAACGGACTCGTTATATTTAAATTGTAATTAAACTCGGTTTTTGTAATAAAGGTTGAAAATTAGGTGACATATGAATGAAATTCTGTCTGAATTCTTCTATATTATCCAGTACAGAATAACTACCGAAATTAATTTCCCTAAGAAATAACTTTCAATATTGTGTTTCATCTAATAAAATTACTCAATAATCATTTTACTGATAAGAAACGAATCGTAATGTACAAAATGATTAATAAGAAAAACTTTAAACGTGACATTTCGTGAAAACGATTCCGCATGGACTCACAGTGAATCTATATTTGAAATACTGATATAAATCACATCGTCTGCTAAATAATTGTTATGTAATTTAATTCTGGACGACATAGACTAGAAGAAAGGAATAAAAAAGGAGAGAGATTCACAAACCGATTCTGGACGACATAGACTAGAAGAAAGGAATAAAAAAGGAGAGAGATTCACAAACCTATGTGCATTCAAAAGAATTGTTACAGGCGAAAGAATATCCCTCAACAAACGCATATGCAAAGCTATATGGGTCTCACTGGACCACACCACGGAGAACCAGATAGGTCATGTTTGGATCATTAAAAAATTCACAAGGTCAATGGGAGAAGGGAGGCTCAATTGAGGAGCTAACATGGCTTCAGATCACCACCTGGTTGTGGCCAAGATGACACTGACCTTCATATAGATATCACTCCACCAACGATCGAAGAAATCAGGATGGCCACCAGACAGATCAAGAGTGGGAAAGCAGCACGACCTGACAATATACCAGCTGAAGCACCAAAGTCAGACATAGAAGTAACTGAAAACATGCTCCACAATCTATTCAAAAAGATTTGGAAGGAAGAACAAGTGCCGATGGACTGGGAAGAAGGATACCTCATCAAGATACGAAAGTAAGGAGATCTGAGCAAATATGACAACTACAGAGGAATCACATTTCTGTCAGTACAGGAAGAGTATTCAACAGAGTGTTGCTGAACCGAATGAAAGACTCAGTGGACGCCCAACTTCAAGATCAACAGGCTGGATTCTGTAAGGATCGGTCGTGCACAGACCAAACGGCGACACCACAGATAATCGTTGGTTATTCAGTTGAGTGAAACTCGTCACTGTACATCAAATTGATTGACTACGAGAAGGCGCTTAACAGTGTGGATGGAATAGCCTTACGGAAACTTCTTCGACACTATGAAGTACCTGTGAAAATTGTCAACATTATCCAAAATTCACACGATGGACTATAGTGCAAAATCGAACATGAAGGACAGATGACAGATACAGTCCAAGTAACGACCAGAGTCAGACAACCATGCCTAATCTCTCTCTCTCTTCCTCTTCCTCCTGGTGGTCGACTGAATTATGAAGACCTCCACATCTGACGGGAATCACGGAATACAGTGGACAGGTTGGATGCAATTAGACTATTTGGACTTCGCATATGACCTCAATCTTCTACCTCATACGCACCAACAAATGCAAGTCAAGACAAACGGTATAGCAGCAGGCTCTACGTCAGTGGGCCTCAACATGCACAAGGGAAAATACAAGATCCTGAAATACAACACAGAGAACACCAATACAATCACACTGGATGGAGAAACCATGGAAGAGATGGAATCATTCAGGTATTTGTGTAGCATCATCGATGAACAAGGAGGATTCAATGTAGACGTGAAGGCGAGGATTGGCAAAGCAACGACATCATTCCTACAGTTGAAGAACTCATGGAACTCGAAACAACTGTCAACCAATGTCAAAGTCACAATCTTCAATACGAACGTCAGGACACATAGTTCTACTGTATAGAGATGGAACTTAGGCAAATATCACAGCCATCATCAAAAGGGTACAAGTATTTGTTAAATAGTTGTCTACGCAAGATACTCAATATCCGTTGACCGAATAGCATCAGGAACAGCCTACTGTGCGAGAGGACAAACTGACTTGCAGCTGAAGAGGAAATTAGGAAGATGTGCTGGTAGTGGATAGGACATACATTGAGAAAACCACCAATGTGCATCACGAGGCAAGCTGTAACTTGGGATGTTGAATGTGAACGGAAAAGAGGAAAGTTGAATAACACACTGCTTGTGAATTGTGGGCGGATATGAAAATGATGAATAGCAAGTGGAAAGAAGTGGAAATGATTAGTCAGGCCAGTGTTGGATGGCGAATGTTTTTGGGTGGTCTCTGTTTCCCTGTGATTCCTATCAGGCGTAAGTAAGTATGTATTTCAATTCCCATGGAGCTATATATTAGGCGCTACCTAGAATCCCAAATAAATTAAATATCCTAGCAACATGAAATTTCCTCAAAAGAAGCCGGATCAGATAATATTAGGATAATTTAATTTCGTTTCATTAATAGAAATCGATTGAATTGTTTTGGTGATATTTTCATATGATAACGAATTAAATTGAACGGGAATCTCAAATATTTTTATTCGACTGGGCGTGAATTATATTTAATTTTGCCATTTGATCAATTAAATGTTCATTCATTAATATGAAACTCGATATTAGGATGATGGTTAAATTAATGCAAAACATCTAAAAACCCATATCCTCGGGCTTATTTTTTTCTAACTGAGTAGTTGTAAATGGAAATCTTCGAAGGCAAATTATGTATTCAGTTTATTCTTTTCTGAATTTTGAGATAAACTTTATCGCATATTGACTTCAACTGACGAATTTTCAAAAACCAAAGAACATAGGAAGACTGATTAGTCATAGTTTGACCCGTTTCAGAAGTGCTCAAACACGACCATACAAAATATCAAACCATAACTTTCAGACATTGTGGCTAATGAATTATTTACAGACTAATTATCAAGGTATCGCGCTAATTCGTTATATAGAGTGTTGCTCATCCATTATCACCGACTATTTGTTTTAATTGTTACGAGATTGCTCAGCTCCACAGATTACGATGTCTCACTGTAAAATGTGTCAAATCTAACCACCGGTGTTCACATGATTATTATTTGGTTAGTTCAGCAGATTATTTTTATTTCAAAGTAGTTTTCTCAATCGACTGAACTTAGTTATTGAATCGTTAATAATTGTAATTCACTGAGAAGCTGCTTTGTGCTTATTCTGGATTGTACATGATTGTACATACACGATGACGGAATTATCATTTTGAAAACAAAACAAAAAATTAAAGAGGGTAAAATTACGGAAAGAAATTAGTTAACTTCAATGTGATAAGCGTTTATTGATAAATAAATGTTCCTTATACAAGGAAAGCGAGAGTAGAATGTACATTTGGTATTTAGTATGGTAAGCATGTATGACTGGCATAGAAAATTTGAATTTCATCAGTTGCCTATGTTATTATAGCAACTCACGTGCAATTGAGTTTGTTCTCATTTAATTCAGTTAAGCCCTTTTGTTAACTTATTTAGCGGACAAAGTCATCCGTGCTATAACAACTTATTGTACCTTTATTATTGTTGCGCTTGTATGGAATATGTATGCTTGAACATTGCTTACCGCCTACGCATATATTCATTCTGCTAGCTTTACTATAAACTGCTTAATTGATTCGATGATCCATTCATTTCCCTATATATATATATATATATATATATATATATATATATATATATATATATATATATATATATATATATATATATATATATATATATATATATATATATAATGAAATTACTTCTTCCTAAAATTTGTAAAATACTGTTGTGGCTGTGCTTCGTTTACCAATCACCCTCGTAACCGTTACCATATAATCCTCAACGGTGTTTGAAATCAAAAGGCAAAGAGAAGCAGCGACTACAGTCTTACTAGCAGATAACTCAGACAACAAAGCAGTGAGGCGAATGAGTGATTTCAAACACCGTTGAGGATTATATGGTAACGGTTACGAGGGTGATTGGTAAACGAAGCACAGCCACAACAGTATTTTACAAATTTTAGGAAGAAGTAATTTCATTACTTAGTAAATTAATTATATTTCTCGGTTATAGATATTTAATTTTACAATTTTCTGAATTTATTTTCACATTGTAAGTTACTGATTACATAATGTTAATTGCTTTTCGATTTGATTTATACAAATCTGACTGTTGATCAATGTAAATAAATTATATATAAATCAGCATATTCAAAGTTCATTTGACTTACTTTTTGGTGTATGATAAATCTTCATTTATCTTTTTCATGTCCTTATTTGTATTGTGCAATTTTCTGTTTCCAGCAACAAATGCCAATTTTCCGCAATTGCATCCAAATGCCCTGGTAAGGCCGACAGTAGGGGTAGTCCTCTCTCCCTTTCGAAATGCTCTCACATGGCCACGCGTATACAGCCACCACCAGCCATTACTCACCGCCTCCTCGAGGTGAGGGTGTTATTTGCGAAATTGAGAGGACGAAAAGTGGATGTCCGGCGCTTTAACCGGGTTGGTGGACACGAAGGGTTTACCTAGGGGAGTTAGGACACCCTGATTCCGAACTAATTTTCCACATGGGCTCCAGGATTCTGAGGGAACAAATGGCGTATCAAGCAGTCGTTGGACACCGGCTACCATGGGACTGCATCGCCTGACGTTGCTCCGCTGACTCGTGGATATATATATATATATATATATATATATATATATATATATATATGACAGTCAAATCCGACTGTTTACATTTGCTAGTTATGTGGAGTTTATATTCATGTAGACAAGGTATACAATATTATTTACTTAATTTTGAAGGAGTTTCGTTCTCTCTAGCTCACAGAACAAAACTCCATCAAAATCATCCATCTGAGCTACAAATCTTCTCCACCATCTCATTATTTACTTAAGTTCTGTGTTTAAATCATTTGTATACCTATTTTTTTCAAAAATCATAGCTTTGTTTAATTTATTTTGCTTTATAAACATTTTTTTACATTATGGACAGATTTTTGACGACATATTACGCTTAATGTTGCATAATGCTCGTGGTCTTTTAGCCAGTACAAATACGTGTCTTTCATTAAAACACGCTTGCAGTGGTTTAAGTCAACCAAATAAATCAGCAAGACAGTCCATTTTTAATTCAACTGATAAAGATGACTTACAATTACCAAGTCCATCAGATACATTATTAAACAATGTGCCTGTTACAAATCTAATATTTTTTTGTGAAAATGGTCGTGAACGAACAAGTTTGGCTATGGCTATAGCTGGGCTTATTCATTGCCACTTATTTGGATTTATGTTTGGTTATCGAGCTGAAGAAGAAGAACGTATTTCATTACGTGATGCAAAATACACCAAGGGCGAGTTTATTGTAAGTTTAAGTAAATTCTCACGAATTTTACTGAACAGATAATTTTAACGTAAAACCAAGTTACACTTTGAGATAATCTAGTTCAGGCGATGTAATAGCACTAATATATATATATATATATATATATATATATATATATATATATATATATATATAATTGACCATCTAACGACTATTTAAGCCTTTTCATACTTCCAAGTAGAAATCCATAATTCATTCCATATTTCCAACTTCAGTTGATTTTTTGCATAGCTCAACTACTATACAAAAGAATCAATGAAAACTGTATCATTTCCTATATGATTATACTCTGCCAACCAACACATCGCCAATACTCCTTGAATCCACCTATAAGTGGATATGGCAGTATATGGCAGTTAATTGTAATTAAGCTGAGATTATTTTATACAGTTCAATTTAGAGTCACTCTTTCCATTGTTCACCAATATTGTTTGACTTTCAACGACTTTTTTTTCTCATCTGACATCAGTGCACCTCAGTTCCATCTGGTTATAAATATTCAAAATGAAAAAAGTTCTATTTATTATCAACTGTTAAATAACTTTACATTTCTAAAATGAATTTAAAGAACTCATTAAATCATTATGTATAATAGTCAGATATTTTGAAACTGAACAGCTATTAAAAGATACTTATTGTATATCATTAGAGTTTAAGTATCATCTTAATACATAATAATGGACTTTTATTAGTATATAATATCTCTAATCATCAGTTGAATCTTTTCCTCATAGAAATATAAATGGGATTTTAGTCACTTCACATCTTAAGTCATAGAGTTATGACCAATTTATTCTATTATATATATGTATATGCTTAACTGTATAATTAAGTTGTTAAAATTGATCGCATTAGATTTATTCATTTCTTTATTATAATTAGTTGACACTGTGAATTGAAATCTTGGAATTAGAAATTAACGAGTTCGTTAAATATAATTTTTTGTGTGCTAAGAGTTAATAAATATGACTTCGATAAATAACTAGTAACTAACTAACTGTAACATTGATTGACCTAAGGAACATTTATTCAATCTAATATTTAGAAGAAAACTACTTCAGAAAGTAAATCTTATATATTATAATTTCATGAATATATTATACCAATGATTGATCTAAATCGACTACTGATCATCATAATTTTTAAAATGATTTTTTTTCAAGATTTATCAGAAAATCTATTTTTTGATAATAGAAATTATGTATTTATATTATTTTAAGGTTTGAATAGTTTTTTTCTGGTTAGCGTTTTTTTAGTGAGATAGTTTTCTACAGGATGGGGTCGCTAACCTCATGCCCAACCCTCCTCCTTCATCCGGGCTTAGGACCGGCAGTAGCCCCCGTAGGGACTCCAGGTAGAGTAGTAATTTACTGATAATTCATGAAACAGTCTAGTTATTTCGTCAATCTTAATATATGGAAATAATAAATTAAATTTTGGAGATATTTTTGATCAAATGTGTAAACCAAAATGTTTGAAATTACCCACAACGTATTTAATTGTCGTTATGTCCAATTCAAACTTTTTATCAGTTGTTTTTCTGTACATTTATTGACTGAAAGCTGCAAACAAGTGCATTTTTATTAGTATAGGGGTTGTGGAGATGATTAAATTTTTTATTAAGACCAGTGGAGCTCATCCTTGTCGGGTAGAGACAGGCATCTACCTCAGTACAATGGAAGATGGTCGCGCGATTTCGTGGATTGGTTGAAGTTAGACATTAACACCACTGGATGCTGGCTCAGTGGTCCAGGAGATTGAAGGCCCTGGATTCGAATCCCGCGAACAAGATCGTGGGTGCACACTGCTGGGGAGTCCCACAATAGGATGAAACGGCCATCCAATGCTTTCAGGTTTTCAATGATAGTCTAACATCAATCGGTTCATGATCTTTATCAAGTGCATTTTTGGTTAAGACTTTCATTTTAAATTGTAATCTTTACAACATTTGTATTCCTCATTCGTGATTTCAAATTATGTCATACTGGATATATTCATAGCAATCAATTGTAAATAACTTCAACCCCTTACACCATTATGCGAAAACTATTTAATGCACAACTCAAAGTGTAATCTATTATACATGTAGTAAACATTGAATACATTATAGACAATTTCATTTAACGAAACTATTTCGATTGAAACTTATAAGTAATTAGGTGTCTAAATGGATTATTTAACAATTATTACTTATTTTCGTTTCTATTCATTATCAATGATGTTATTTTAATTTGATTATTTTCTTTTTAAATTACTAGATTATAAAAAAATTGATTCGTATGTTGCCAAGAGGTCATCAAATAAAACGTGAAGTTGATTATATATTAGATAAATGTTATGAATCTATGTCAATGATGCATTTTCATACAAGAGAAGAAATTTACTTTACTTATGTTAAAGTATGATTTAAATATTTTGTAGTTATTATTTAATAAAAGAAAATATTTTATTAGATTTTTAATAGTTTACATTATTCCTTTCCTGTATTGTTTACAAACTTACATAACTCCAGTAGTATTATTAGCTTAATGTATACTCAAAGGCATTTTTTTTCGCACTGACTTTTTCCTCTTTAAAAGCAAATGGTAAATATCTTGTTTGATATATAGAAACTCAAAGGTTATTTGGACGGTTATAATAATGTTCCATAGCTTGATTAAATGGGTATTTCCATATGTTCTCATTAATAAGTTTAAAATTTTGGAATAGTGAAGAATATTTATAGCTTACTGAGAGAAGTTGATTAGCTTTGCAATTTCCGAGATGAATAATTGAAGAGCTCGCTTCAAGTCAGATTAAGTGCTGATAATTTTGTGTAGAACGGTAAAGAAAGTTTCTTAAACGAACCTGATAGATAATAGAACATCATACCACTAAGTGCTTTGATTGTCTTTTTAATTAACATCAACCCAGACTTTGTAACAAGACAGTTTATTGACATGTTTTCCTAAGTCCTTTAAACCTCGATTTATCTATATAAACTTATGTAATTGTTATCATTTGAGCTAGTATCTAATATACATTGTGTATGTTAAGCGAATTATCAAAAGTTATTTGGTTAGAACATGACCAAATGCACTATATACCTTTCTAGCTTTATGTAAACACTCGATCTTATTGAGAATGCAATAGTCTCTTCAATAAATCATGTGTTAAGGATGAGCCAGTAGGTATTCTTTCACCTAATAATGGTCCTGAATGACAGGTTTTAGAAGATCTTGTTAGATGTTTTGTTTGATTAACAGATTTCCATTATTTCTCAGACGGTATCTTTTCAGTTGTACTACGAAACGAGGTAAGATGGTAAGAATTCTTTCCCCTCTGATCATGAGATGATCATGGTGATGACTGTTATATATAGATATCTCGAATGAAGAACTTCAGTAAATATAACTTTTAGAAAAGGTAAACATATGCATTTCTCTTTCTGGTTGTACTGACAAAGTAATAAATTACGCAATTTAAATTTACACTACTGAAAAGTAATTAAAGTAGTACGTTTCTCTACGAACTATAAAAAGTGATTAGTATAAACTCCTAGTGTACTGAAGTCATAGGTGGTTAATCAATTTATGGGATTGAGCAGAATCATAAAGAGCATTTATAAAATATGAAAACAATACAATGAATACGCCACTTGAACATCATCACTGAATTGTCTCTTACAAGCTCCATTGTTCTTTCGTTATTGTTGTTACTTGGACTGCCTCTGTTTATTTTTTTTATTCTTCTCATGTTCCTCTTTTGTCGGTCAGAATCATACTTACAATTCTTGACAAACACTACTTAAATCCGTAAGTACAAGTAACACACATCACATTAGTAGATAACTAAGATTTGAAATGCTAACTATATTAAGAATTTGTATATAGTGATGGATTTGATGAAGTTCTCAACACAGACATCGTGCATTAATAAACGAAGAAGAAATGTTTTTAAAAACGATGACCAAACACCATGATGTTTGAATACAGTTTGAATTTGAAAAAACACAAATAACTGATCAAAAAAGTTATTTTCAACGAATCCTTATCAGATCCAAGAAGTTTACACATGTCTATATGATCAACAACAAAAAATTCAAACTTGACAGAAATACTTTTCCCAATAAAATACAGATCCTAGACAAGCAGTCGTAAATTTTCCAAAATTACAATTGCTGTTTATCAAATTTGATATGATTATTAATGTAACGATTACTTGAAGAGTGTTTTAGACGAGATAAATTTACTGATTTAGTTTAACCATATGAACTATTGTCGAATTCCTCATGTTTGACTATATATTTACGTAATCCTTCAAAAAGATGCTAATGAATGTGATGAAATGAATGTTTGGTATATCAGTTAGCTTTGCCAATGAATACCAATAAAAGCAGCCATTATGTTTAATTTGTCTTTTAATATCAATATCATCACCGTGTTCGCACAAATGGATTACTTATATACCCCTTTATAGTACTATATACACGTCTTCAATAAAGTTTCCAAGTTAAATTAAGAAATATAACCGAGATATTATACTGAAACTAGTGTCAAACTAGTAAGTCATTATTTGGTAGTAAGAATAGTCGTTTTAAATTACTATTAGAAACGTGTAAGTCCACAAATTCAACTGATCTCCTGCAAACAGTAGAGATACCTTGAAAGGATAGGTTATAATAAGTACATGCATAATAAAGCATTAAACTACTACTGTCATTTTGAACAGGATGATTTAACTGTTACAGTACTACAGCTAACTTAAAAATATTTGCCACTGGTAACTTAACAGATATTATTTGTTATTGTTAGGCAAGAGATGAAAATGATCCAGAAAAGAAATTAAAACTACGTAAAAGAAGTTTAGCCTATTTGGAACGATACTTCTTTCTAATTCTCTTCAATGCATACCTTCATGATCAACAACGTAAACGGTGGAAAATTTCATTTGAAGTTTGGATTGAACACGTAAGTTTTTGTTTTTTTTCAAATTTTAAAATTATGAATATTGTTTACTACAGTGATTAATTGGAGCCATTTACTAAACATCCATTTTTGTGCAAATGAAACTAACATTTACAAGAAATGAAAATTCCCGTAAAATTTTCAAAGTTATTTCACTTGATATTGTTTACTTGAATCTTCCCATTGATATTTAGGACTGCGATTGATCAGTCTCTTATTGGCATATGTACATAATCTGCGTATTGCCTCAACATTGTCTTAAGTCAAAAACTTTATAAGCATAGATGGATGGTGGCTAGCAGTAAAATCCAGGACGCGCATTTTGTCCTATTTGGAACTCGTCAGCTGGACGTACTTGCGTTCGAGTTGGTGTTCACTCTGGGGCTCGAACCCAGTACCATTCGCTTCAAACGCCACTTAACTACTGAGTCACGTTAGCCATCTGCTTGTGCAATGGAGTGAATTTTAAATTCACTTGGTATTGTTGACTTGAATCTTCCCATTGATATTTAGGGCTCCAATTGATCAGTCTCTTATTGGTATATGTGCATACTTTACGTCAATAAACGTAATTAGCTACCTACATATTTTTAATCTAGTGGATATCACTTAGGTGCCTCTCCTGTAAGCTGATAGGTTTACATTTCAGTTATATCATCACAGATTAAATGTACTGAAGTGCTTGAAGACATGAAATAAAATATTTATCCTAAAGTTCACCAACTGCTATCACTGAAAACATAACATATTTATGTGGTGACAGATTTAATATACTATTTATTGTGTCAATCTTTAATATAAATCTGATTTCCATAATCAGTATAGGGTTGTGGAGATTAGTAAATTTTTGATTGAGATCATGAATTGATTGATGTTAGACTACCATTGAAAACTTGGAAGCACTGGGTGGCCGTTTCGTCCTATTGTGGGGCTCCTCAGAAGTGCCCAGTAATTAATACAATAAATTTATCACAGTTACTAATACCTGATTATCTTTTTTAAAATATTTTTTCTCACATTCTTACGCATTAATTCAAGGATTTGTTTAGTTTAATTATGTTACAGAAGTAAAAGACCAAATATAACAGTAAATAATAAATAACAACATTGTGAAACTGTTATAACGTGAAAGTGATGCTGCGGATTAAGGGGTAGGGAATTATTGATCGGACCAAAGACGCGCAAACACGTAGAACGACCTAGGGTTCTGATTGGCCTCGCTTCCCTATCTAACCCAGCCAGTTGAGTCCAGAACACAAGTTTCAGCCTCAGATTTATGAATCATTATATTTCAAACATACTTTGTTTATATACCAGTCAAGCAGACCACAACGTCCCATAAAATAGAAAATAACATTGTACAATAATGGCCAGTAGGAAAATGACACGTTAAACAAATATTGACCAATAAGATGATACCATTTCATGTCCAAGGATAGCATTAGCCTTAACAGGATAATTTTTTTGGGATATTTTCCTGAATATCCCAGCAGAAACAAACTATACTTTTTTTGTATCGGTATATTTTTCAAGTATTTTATTACATATTTCCTTCATTGAAATGTAAACGTCGTTAATTTCTGAAAGGTTGATTGTTATTCAACTTAATGCATTAAAACATTTGATTGTTATATTCGAATAGGATTAGATGCAATACTTAAACCTTTATAGTTTTATTTGATAAACTGATTTTAATGAAAGCTTTCTATTAAAGAGCTTAGAAATTTAACTTATCAGATTAACTCTAAGTAGTATAAAACTACGGAGGTAAATCTTCTGATAATTGATTACTATTGAACAATTATAAAAAGTAGTAGTAGTAGTAGTAGTAGTAGTAGTAGTATCTGTTAGATACATGAAGTGAAATTCATAAATCTAAAGTGAATGTAATTGAAGATGAACAAATTAAAAAGTAAATTAATCAACAACAACAAAAAAGGATAGAATGTTATATTACGCTTTCTAGATAATATTCTGTACACTGAAAGGTATATCATCCTTTAATTTTAATATATATAGCCATAATTATTAAAACTATAAACCAACCGAATATTTTATCTTTTTATGAATCTATCAGAAGTAAAGCAAAGAAATCTGATATATATTTCATCACTGAACTCTGGTTTATTTAAATTTATCAAAGGGGAAATTAATTACATAAACTTTTTAGATTTCTTCTATTGACTTGAAAACTGAAGAGTTTTTTTTCTATTTAATTTTTTAATTAATTAGATATTTGTATTTTCTTTTGTTTTTCTGGTAGTTTTGTTATTGATAATGCCATTATTATTATTATTATTATTATTATTATTATTATTATTATTATTGTAGGCTACACATCAAGTATACTTTATGGATATATTAGATAATTTTGGTTTTCCTGAATTTGAAGAACCAGATAAACTCAGACGTATTCGTGAACGTTGGCGACCAGATGGTTCAAAGCATCCTGCTTTACTTGGAGATTTTACTTAATTCAATATTTTAATAACTAACACCATACACTTTATAAATAATAACCATATACTATATATAAAACTTTATTAAATACATGTATTCATACACCTCTATTCTAACTTACAGAATGTTTTTTTAGATTATTTCTCAGTTTCTCTGTTATTTAAGTGTAGTAATAGAAAACATGAATGTCTTATTATTTCTGTACTGTGTTTCTGTTCAAATAAAATACTGAATATATATATATATATATATATATATATATATATATATATATATCGATTGAAGTATCCATTTAAGCCAGGCCACAAAAGAATCTAATGCATTTGTGTTGAATGCACAAATATCCAGTTGATAAGAAAGAATATGCACCACTTAATTAAGTTTATTTCAACCTTGGTTAGGTTACATATCTACTTACTTATTTATTTACTTACGCCTGTTACTCCTAATGAAGCATAGGCCACCCACCAGCATTCTCCAACACAATCTGTCCTGGGCCTTCCTTTCCAGTTCTGTTCAATGTTTGTTCATTCTTCTCATGTCTGTCTCCATTTCTTGGAGTAATGTGATCTCTGGTTTTCTTCTTCTCCTTTGGCATTAGGGATTCCAAGTGATGGCTTGCCTTGTGACGCAGGTGGGTGCTTTCCTCAATGTGTGTCCTATCCACTCCCAGCACTTCTTCCTCCACTGGGATCTGGTTTGTTCTCTCCCATAGTAGGTTGTTATGGACATTGTCTGGCCAACGGATCCGAAGTATTTTGCGCAGACAATTGTTAATAAACACTTGTATCTTCTGGATGATGTCTTTCGTAGTTCTCTAAGTTTCCGCTCCATACAGTAGAACTGTCTTGACATTTGTATTGAAAATTCTGACTTTGGTGTTGATTGACAGTTGTTTTGAGTTCCAGATGTTCTTCAATTGTAGAGATGCTGCTCTTGCTTTGCCGATACGCGCCTTCACATCTGCATCAGATCCATCGTGCTCATCAATGATACTTCCCAGATATGTAAGGGATTTTACATCTATCTTGCATATATTTAATTTTATTTAATATACCATTTCGGTACAGAACTTTTAATGTTTGTGTTCTTGGTATACTTAATTTAAAATATAATATTTCTTTTATTTATCTAAACAAGAAAATGATCATGCATTGAATACTAGATGAATTAAGTTAATATTGTAATCATTGAGTAACATGGCTCAGAATAAGTCAAAATGGATCAGATTCATCTTGTAAATCTTGAACTTCTGCATTCCTTTATACACACCTTACCACCCATCTTTTGGAATTATATTCTCAGTGTTTAGTCTTTCTTATTATCATTACTTCTATATTATTTCAACCAATTTGCTATCCGTTTGTCATTTTTATCTCGGCATATACTAGTTATTCTGTACCAACCTGAGCTAGCTCAAATCTATATCAAGCTCAATGTTGATGATTTCTGTCTATTTGTAAGACATTGTATTGTTTTCTGAAGACATGAAAACCTAGGTCAGGACAATCGATATTCAACATATAAACGTATGAGTATATCTAATCTCATGTAATGATGAAAACCCTAAGAGGAATTTAAACATTTCAGCTTATCTAAGGTCCTGTATATGTGTATATTACAATTATATTAGATGCTATAAAACCCGGATTTAGAACATCATATTGTTTAAGTTCATTAATTCAAAAGAAAATATGCCCAGATATACAACTAAAACAATTTTTCGTACTTTTATATAATAATATTATTCAAACTAGAATACTTTCAAGAGTATAATCTATAATGTACTCTCTATAGATTTTAGACTAGTCTTATGTAAAATACATAAAAATTTAGTAAGTTTCGTTTATTTTCACTAATAGACAATGTGAAATAAATTCATGTACAATGAGTTTAGGTAAAAAAAAAAGAACAAAAGATTTACAATGAGAATATGAACAATCAGACATATTGATCTTTAGTAACCTTCACGTTTAACATAAGCATAATGTGTTGATTCCCAAATGCCCAATTTTCGATTACCTCTTTCCACCATTCCAGTTAATAAATAACCACGATAAAAATCAGCATCTATTATATTTGTAGTTAAAAATAAACAAAAATGTGGCATCTTTTGTTGTTTACCAGCTGAATCTTGTTTAAATTTCCCAGTGATAAACATTGAACCTTCTAATTTAGTAAATGTAACATGTCCAATAGTTTCATATCTTTTTGTTCCTCCACTAGTCATCTACAGCATAAAGATAAAATAATAAAGAATGATTTATTAATTATTTAAGTTATAAGTATCTAATCACTTCTGATTTCTAGACGGTTATACACCAGCACACTAGGTGATTTGAATAACTTAGTGTTATTGAAGATAATGGACTCTATTTGCTAATCAAAGAAGAATATATTAGAGTTTTCACTTTTAATTGTTTACACCCAAAACTGATTCCAATCGATTTGTTGACTAATCCCAACAACGGCTACTGATGTCATATCAGAAAAACAAAGAATAATAATCGGTTACATTTATGAGTACAAGATGTAATCTAATACAATGAAAGTTGTTGTCATCATTCATCTTCAGCTTATTGTTCAATTAATGTTGTAAATTGGTATCTTAGAGTTAATAGAACTAAAAATTTTGTTTTATAAAAATGGTTATATTAGAATTAAAAACGTTTTCGAAAGAAATAACAGTCATTATTTACTCTGACCTTTACTGATATCATCAGATGATGTTTACTTTTTAGTATTCATTTATTTCAACACAAATATTGGTACAAAGGGGCACTGAATACGTATGCGCCACACAATTCACTTTATTTGTAAGTGGGTTGTGATATTGCCCGCGTGCCCAAACTGGAACAAGTGATTTTCTTAGAGGGCCACACCTGACATAAAGGTCTGATCCACAAGGCAGTGGAGCGACGTCGAGAGATGCAGTCCCATGGTAGCCGGCGACCAATAATTGGTTCATACACCATTTGTTCCCTCAGAGTCCTGGAGCCCATGTGCACGATTGATTTGAAATCATGATTTTACAACTCCCCAAGATAGATATTCCGTATCCACCAGACCGGTTAAATCGCCGGACATCCACTTTTCGTCCTCTCAATTTTGTAAACAACAGTCCCATCGCAAGGAGGCAGTGATTAGGAATTCCCTGGTAGTGGCTGTATACGCGTGGCCATGTGAGAGCATTTCGAGAGGGAGAGCTGACTCTCCCCACCCTCGACCGTACCGGGGCATGATTATGTACACAATATTTATGACCTTCAATAAATCATGCTATATGATTTATATCTATATTATGAAGTCTGTTTGTGAATTCTGGCTAAAGGTCTATTTCCGTGATCAGATTCACTAAGTGGTGAGTAAATATTTTTGTTAGATTACTCTAATGACGAACTAATGAGGAGTGATGAAGACGATAATAGCTTATTAATAAATATCTTTGTGCAATCAATGTGGCAAAGCATGGGATTCAACTGATAGAAAGTGTTTGTTCCTTCTAGTGTGAATTTTATTTAAAGCTTAATGTATTATAAGTTTGTCTATGTTAAGCTTATTCAAAGTGAACTAATAATATGCTATCATTTATTCAGTAAATCATACGAATTCTAATATCCTAAAATTATCGTGAAACAGTCAGAAATTTTATCTGCACGATTCCTAAATCCTTACTTCGTATTATAGTTTCTAGAAACTTCCAGAAAGTTTGAACAATATTGAAAAGTCGTCCTATATCTCATTACTACCATTTTATCACCCGGATTCTTTCATGATATTGTACGTTGACTAATGTTTTACACTGTTTCGTCAGTTTTTTTATCTATGTCCTGTATTTTGTATGAAACATTTGTTTTCCATGTTACTTATATCTCAAAATGATCTGAGTCAAACATCCATTGTGAATTAGGACCCACTGGATAGCTATTTCTACTTAGTACGAGACTCCTCAGAAGTGTACACTCATGACCCTATCGAGGATCGAACTCAGTAACTTTTGCCTCACAGAATATTATTAGCTTCTAAACTATTAAACTGGCATTCAGTGGTGTACATATCTAACTTCAATGAATTCATAATATCACGTATCTTCCAAACAATTTGAAAACAACGGCACTATACCTGACATATTTGAACTCTATTACTAAAATTGATTCACATACTAAAAATAAAAATAATTCACCAATCAAATATGAACAGATAAACATTTTTTTGCTTTTGATATTGAATATTCATATAAAAATAATTCTAATTTACTTGAATGACTTTACACCAATTTCTTAGAAATCGATTAAATATTAATAACCATTTTGATTCAGAACTTGGATACGGCCAATTTTCACATGCTTCCAATTGAACTATAATTTTTTTCATACCATTACGTAATAAATGACTACAAGGTATTCCACGATTTTCATAATAAAAAAGTTGTACCATGAAATGGTTATTTTATTTCGATTAAATCTAATAGTAGTTAAAATGTAAAGAATCAAGATTTATTCTTAAACAATCTAACATATTCTTAAATAAAATAAAATAATCTCAAGCAATCAAATAAAAGAAAAAGAACAAAAAGCATCTATTTGGCAAAGATAGATGGTAGCTATTAGTGGAGTCCAGGACGGGTATTTCATTTTATTTGAGACTCATCAGCTGATTGTACCTGCATCCTAGAGTTGATGTTCAGTCCAAGCCAACAAGAAAAACAGAAATGTTAATTTCAATAGTTGAGATCATGAGTCAAATAGAGCTAGACTACCATGGAAAACCTGGAAGCACTGGACGGCCGTCTCATCCTACTCTGGGACTCCTCAGTAGTGCGCATCGACGACCTCGCCTACCGGGTTCCGAACCCAGGACCTACTGATCTCGCTCCCGTGCGCTTAACCACTAGACCACTAAGCCAGCATCCAACGGTGTTAATATCTAACTTCAACTAATCCACGAAATTGAACGACACATCCATCATTGTCATCAGTGAGTTACTATCTCACAACTGGTCCAGTTGAACTCCACTGATTGTTGATTCTCACTAGAACTCCAGGATATACATCTTGAAGCCAGTTGTGAATGCGCACTGCTGAGGAAACCCATAATGGGACGAAACGGCCGTCCAGTGCTTCCGGGTTTTCAATGATGGTCTAACTTCAATTGATACTTGATCTCAACAATTAAAATTACTAAAGTCTCCACAAAAGCCCTTCTGATAGAAATGTTAATGTCTAATGAATTTCATTTAATTATAATGCAAAAAAATTCAAGACATATCAATAGATTATTTTATGCTGTCTATTTTTAAAGATTTTTCAATGATTGAAAACATTGTTGGTCTCAAGGTGATTTCCAGTGACATTACAGTGACATTACTATCTCATGAAATTCTTTTTCTTATAAATATATTGAATAATAATCTAACCAGTAAATATTTCGTTGTCGAACAAATTAAATGTTTTGAACAAAACTTTCTTGAAAAATTTCATATTAACCTCAATTCAAATAAAGTTTCTAAAGTTGTTAAACTAAATAAAATCTAGAATGTGATGAATAATAGTAATATTATTGTTCAAATATAGTAACGGGAAAACATACTGGAAATTAATCTTCAAAGGATAATAACGATTGATTTTGTCCAAATGAATCCTTTTATGATGAGAAGTTTAATATCCTGTCTCATATTAAATAGGGTTATTTATATAGTAAAAGTTGAACTAATATTGACATTTTGAATATGATACTTTTTAAGATATAGAAATCAAGGAAATAGTCTCATTTCCACAACATATGCAAATAATCTCAACTGTTACAATAATGGTCCTCAGGGTACATATTTAATTATCATACTTTTTTATAAACCTATTCGTAAATGATAAGATCTATAAACAACAACTCAAAAGCCTAACTAGAGATTTCTATGCGCAACATAGTTTTCCGGTTTGTGACAAATCCCGGATGTACGCAAATGAATATCATATGACTTAGAAGTACCCTCTCAATAATGCTAAGGTCATATTTAGGATTACTCAACCAACCCACAAAGATAAATGGTATGAGATCAAGCTCTATTATTCTTAATTTTCGCATTCATTTCTTTGAAAAACGAAAAGTAACTACAAACAGTATACCTTAGTGTGTGCAGAAACATAAAAATCGTAAATCCACACCGAATTACTCAAATACACTAGCTCACTTAATACCTCTTCATTGAATCCTATTTTGTTTCCTTGTAATTAACACAAAAACTATTTCACAAGTTTTAGCACTAAAATAAAAGCTTAAATTCTTGGTAAATCTAGAGTACAGGTACGAACCAATTAGGCTAAAATCAAAGATTTCAAAAAATGATGCTGACCCAGTTTTGGCTCATTTCAATGAGAATATCTGAATTATATAATTAGAAGATATTGAATTCTTTAGGAAAATGTTATGCGATTGTGAACACCAAAATACATTCAAAGAGTGTAAATGTAATTGAGAAAGAAATATAGAATATCGAAAGGGTAACTGGTTTATTAGGCCAAATATAGTAGGGTTTCGGTGTATAAAACAAGAACTTTCAAGAAAATAATTTTATAAAAGTTCTCAATAGAATGTTTTTCATCTTGTTAAGATATATGTTCGAATGAGAACAAAAGAGTATAAAGATGGCTGGAAAGAGTATGTATTTCATTCCATATATGGATATGATTAAAAGCATAATTATTCTCACAATTTAAAAAGACATAAACTTATACTTTAGTGACCCGAGATCTGACTTCAGTTATATCGTTTCTGATTGCTATAAAGGTATACATGCCTCCAATCCATGTATATAATTATCGACTTAAATCGCGTTAGCGTATAATGGAATTAAATAAGTCAAATACGAGAATAAAGTTTTGAATACTTATATTTTGTACCCATTTATCTAGACAAACAATCAGAAAAACGAAGTGAAATGATGTACAGTGGAGAAGGTATGTAAGCCAGCTCGATTTAATCAAGCGTTAATCAATATTTATAGTTACACAAAAATAAGCTACATACATGTGATGAATAGGATAACAAGTGTACAAACATACACTCATATAAGAACATTCAAGGTTAATAAGTAAATAGGTAACAAGATCAAAACGTCATTCAAGAAGAATAAATAAACTGACCTGTGTAGAAGGTAGAATAAGTTATATAGGCTTAACATAGTAATCAACACTACAATATAACTAAGTTCTTTTATAAAACAAACTAACTTATGATAAATCTTGAGAAGGTTATAAGTCAAAGTATCTATACTAATTTTGTTTTTAGATTTCTTCATTATATCATTTTTATCATCTATTTTCTGATTGGTTTAATATATATATTACTTACTTACTTACGCCTGTTACTCCTAATGGAGCATAGGCCGCCGACCACCATTCTCCAACCCACTCTGTCCTGGGCCTTCTTTTCTAGTTCCATCCAATTCTTCTTCATCTTTCTCATGTCTATTTCCATTTCCCGACGTAATGTGTTCTTTGGTCCTCCTCTTTTCCTTTGGCCTTGAGTATTCCATGTGAGGGCTTGTCTTGTGACGCAGTTCGTTGCTTTCCTCAATGTGTGTCCTATCCACTTCCAGCGCTTCTTCCTGATTTCTTCCTCCGCTGGGATCTGGTTTGTTCTCTCCCAAAGTAGGTTGTTGCTAATAGTGTCCGGCCAACAGACTCGAAGTATATATAGACTTATCATAGATAAGAATAAACCAGTTATTCCTATATTCTATTTTCCAGTTAGTCATACAGTAGATCATTTTATGCTTTAAGCAAATTTTCATTGACATTATAGTTCTTTTTAGATTCATTAATTTATTATAAGATAATTAGATTTTATATACAAAGTAAAAGAAATAAGTAGATAAGTACTTACAAATTGGTTAAAGTAAAGAATAATAATGATAATAATAATAAAGGTATAGAGTTTTGATGTAGATGAATGCTTCTTTGAACAAGTAACAATTTATTAGTTATTAGAAAGAAAAAAAGGGAACAATTTCCCTATCACCTATTGATTTCTCTTTACTTACTTAGTTTATATAACGAACAAATAAAATATTTTTTCAGAAAAAAGGCAACATAATTTCTTTGGATAAACTTCTTTCCCTATTCATATTGTTATAGATGAGTTTATCGTTGTTTATACAATTCATTATCATAATTATTGATAGTTGAAAGTATTTGAAATTTGCAAAAAAGTATTTCCATAATTAAATTTACGAGTCAATCTAAGCTAGATCATCGTTGAAAACCTGTAAACATTTGACTGCAGTTTTGTTCTAGTATAGGACTCTTCAGCAGTGAGCATCTATAATCAGGTTTTCGGGATTCGAACCCAGGGCCTTCATTCTCGCGCGCGAATGCTTAACCTCTAGATAACTGATTTGGCATCCAATGGTGTTAATGTCTAACTTCAACTAATCCAGTGATTCCGTGTTTTCAACTAGGTTAGATCAATTCATGAATTCAACTGTGAAAATATTTTTAATAAAATAACGAAAATGAATAAATATATAGTCGAAGAAAAATGAAGAAAATAATAAAATCGGTTAAGCATAAAGATGGGATAGGAAACAACTTGCTGAAATACTTAAGTATTGTTAATCTCTTTTTACTTCAGTTATTCTGATATTAGTTTATAAGCTACTTAAATTTATTGAAGTATTTAATCTAAGTGGAAAAATCACTTGAATATTGATTACAGTTTTGGTGTATGCTACTTATGTGGACAGATATAAGTAGTATGTAACACCGATCGGGAATGCAAAACCTGGTAGTAGAAACGATGGAAATTTGCAAATGAAGTATTTAGTGTATAGTTCTTATATTTAGGACCTATGTAAGTTAATATGTAACAGTTAGACAGATAAATAATTATATGGGGATATAATACTTTGATGAAATAAAAACGAATAACACAATTCAATGATGGTTTTTGCCATAAATTGACATCATTTAAAGATCTGTCAAAAACTATACGGAATTGAACAGCTTTCTTGTTCTAATTTATGGCTAATCAACAGTGTTCATCTTTAAATCTACAAATCATATCCTTCACTCGTTTCAAATGTTACAATAAGCATAATAAATCCGAATGAATGAATCAAAGCATATTAATCCACGTTCTTCAATTCAACCAATTCATGATACAATCTGATTAGTTACAAACATATTTCTCATTTGATTTAACTTGTGTAATACTGATGAATAAAAAAAGCCAACAACAGTATCTTCACTAATAACTTCAAGATGAGTTCCTGATCAAAAATTATTTTACTTTCCATTCTTTATAAATTCTTCAATGGAATATTGAATATTATCATATCAAGAAGAAACAGCTTATCAGTCTCTATAGTCATCTCCTTTCCTTCCAATTTGTGGTTTATTAGATAACAGAACATTTCAGAAATGATTATTTACTACTTTTAT